CCACTCACTATTATAAGGTTGCAAATTTCTTGTATATTTTACTCCTAGGTCTTCTGGTTTTTACTCCTACAGTATTTTCAAAACAGTTGTTAGTGGTATATAAGGAAAGCTCTGAATTTTTACATACTTACTTTGGCTATCTTGGTTTTGGTAGTTTTTCAGTTGATTCTCTTGGATTTTCCATGAAATACGGTAACTTTGCTTCCTCCTTTCCAACACTTGTACCTCTTACTTTCTTATTTAATTATATTGGCTAATGCTTCTAAAGCAATGTTAAATCATGGCAGAGATAGTGTTATTTTCCTCATTTTGTTCCTAATTTTATTGGGAATACTTCTAGTGTTCACTATACGATTCTTACCGGTTTGAGACAAATTTATTATGTTATAAAGACAATCTTATTTTATTGGGTTTAATTATAAATAAGACTCATTTTTTTATCAGAAGCCCTTTTAGTATCTATCAGAATGACCTACCATGTGCCCTTTTCCCTCTTACTCAATTTTATAGTAAATTGTAACATGTATATGAGGCTTACTAATACCAACCTTCTTTGTATTCCTGAAATTAACCACATTTGATCATAATATATATTTTTTAAGATTTTTTTTTTTTTTTAAGATTTTATTTGTGAGAGAGAGCACAGTGGGGGTAGGGGGGAGAGGTAGAAGGAGAAGCAGACTCCCGCTGAGCCCGGAGCCCAGAACCCAGAGACAGGAGCCCGGAGCCCTACATGGGGCTAGACACAGGGCTCAATCCCAGGATCCTGAGATCATGACCCGAGCCAAAGTCAGATGCTTAACTGACTGAGCTAACCAGGAGCCCCAGCCATTAGTATATTTTGTTTTAATGTAGTAAACTCTCTTTTTACTAAAAATTTACTTACAATTTTTGCAGTAATATTAGTAAGATCTGTCTTAAGTTTTCTTTTGAGGGAATGAATATCTGTTATCCAGTTTTAGCACTCCTGCTAGTTATCTTGGCTTTATGTAAGAAGTAATCTGAATGCTTTTTTTTCTCCCCCTATGCTTTAAACAATTAAAAAGAATTAGAATCCTTGGTTTCTTGTAGATGTGAAATACTTTCCTATAACACACACTTCTACTGGCACTTTTTATTAGAGGATATTTTTCTCAAAAAAATTTTTTTTTATAATTACAGCCTAATTAGGTTTTCTCCCATTCTTCTTGAGCCAATTTTATTTATTTACATCATCCTTAAAAGTAAAATCCAGGTTTTCAAATATTTAAAAAGTAGATATAGACACATCTAAAATTTAAAAAAACGATAAGAAAAGACAAATCAGATATGCAAACAAAAAGAAAACAAAAGTTGGATTTAGGGGCTTAAGCAAAACTGAATGCAAAGGGAAAAAGTATATACCTTGGTAGACAAAGTTCACAATATAAAGCGGGTCATTAATACATTTCCTGAGTCTTTATGTCCTAAAGAATATCCTTCACTTGTCCTTAAGCACAACGTGGCTACTCAGGAAATTCTTCAGTTATATTCTTCTTTGTCCCTGAAAACTCTCTAGCTGTTGAATCATTAACTTCAGAAATCTTATGTGGTTGAAAGAAGTGAACCTCTTTATTTTTCCATTGTACAAAATACACTTCCTTTTCTTTGCTATTGATGTTTGTGAAATCACTTCTGTAATCCCTGAAAATTCAGTAAATTCCACCAGAATGTGTTCCTAAAACATGAGTCCTCTTGATCGCCGGATTGACATTTCCAGTCACTCTAAACATTATCTTTTTTTTTTTTTTTAACTATTTTCCATTTTCCATTATTCTGTTGTTTCCTTCACAGAAACCAATTAGGGCTTTTCACTATCTGCAAATGATTTTCTTTAACTGCCTTCATTTCTATGCCCACTGTTTCCACGTTCTATACAATTTCCTCATGCTCTATCTCTAGCTTACTAATCATATTTTCTATATTGTTTACTCTGCTCCTTGCTGCTTATAATAAATTATAATACAAGTATGTTCCTGTCTTCTTTATCCTTAGTCCTGCCACTTCCCTTTTTTTATATATATTTCTTGTTCTCTTATTTTTGCAGATATCATTTGCTGCTTAACTTTCTTGGCAGTTTAGAATGGTTTAAAATTTTTTTCCTAGAAAAATTCAATTCTTCCAAATACTGATTATCAGTTTTCTTTGGAATACTAAAATATCTGCTTAGGTTTCACGTTAATTTATTTGTACTCTGTTAACGCATCTTTGAATAAGAGAAATTCTCTGGCTCTGCCATTTAAAGCAGATAGCATCTCCCTGATGACTGAATTATCAGGTGCCTCTCTTAAAAAATTAACATCTAATGACTAAACATCGGGTGCCTCTCTTAAAAAATTAACATCAAAGCTTCCAACTCATTAATCAGTTGGCCAAGTAAGTAGCATGGAGGAAGGACCTGGGACTAAACGTAGCAAGTCCTTTATCTCTGTGTAGTTTCTCTCCGAGTCTACCGACACCCTGCCAGTGATGAGAACTAGCTCCACCTGAACTATGGCTATATCCTATGCTATAAAAGGACTCTTAGTTTTGGCACATCTGCCTACTCTGGGGGTAAGCCAGACTCCTAAGAGACAGGAGGAGTCAGAACGGAAACCATAGTACATCATCATTTTTGTTTAGTGGGGAAGCACACAATTTTTTCTGTGCCTGTAAAGTTGGTAATAAGACATTTGCGTCACAATTCTACTCTAAGCCTCACCTCTAAGCTTTGCTCCTCCTGCTAAGGAAAACAGGTCAGCCCAAAGAAAAATGGTGTGACCACAAGTCTCTTCTTTAGTTCTATTGACAGCAGAAATTAGGCTTTCCTTATTTCTCTCAAAGCCTGCCCATACCTCAATCTCCTCCTCTAAATTAGCAAACAAGAGAACACTTACTATCCATCCATTCCCTTATTCTCCTGATTCAGGGATATGTGTTAACTGTCAATGTTCTCACATTCAATTCCTTCTAGATGACTTATTTAGCTACAATTCTGTCCCAGTTTGTGGTAGCTTCTACTTAGATACATTTTTCTTTTGGTTCTTTGGAATTATTTTGGTGAATTCAAGGGAAGATAATTTAATAAACACTCAACTCTATCATTTTTCCTCAATATCGACTCACTCGATTTAATCATTTAAAACATAAAATCTGCATACATTTTTATCTCCTGGAAGATATATATGAGCTACTTCATCAAGAACAGTGCATGCACACACAGCAGGTATTCAGTATCAGTTAATTTTCCTCATGAGAAACATTTGAAATATACTCGGCATATAAATCAAATAGTTTTAAGTACTTCAGTTCCATATTAAAGCAGATGTTTTAAAATGCCCTTTGCATGTTCTAAAATGTCCACCTTTCAACCTTGCTCTTGTAGTGCTACAAATATATCAAAGTTTCTTTAAGATATAAAGGGTGCTAGGAAAGACAGTCTAGAATAAAAATAAAAACCTCCAGTGAATAAATCAAACTAAAACTTGCCCAAAACCCTAATTAAGAAAGGAATTGTGCCATTATGGATATGGCACCATAGGCATTCAGACAAATAGGGCTAAATTCAAATCGTCACTCTGCTACTTGCTAGCTATATGACCCAAAACCATTTACCTCGAGTGAATATCAGATTTCTCATTTGGAAGATTAGGATATTTTCTACACTTTACTAAACTGTTAAAAGGTTTAAATGAGATAGTACAGTCAGTGGGCATTCAGTAATACAGAGTTATGTATTGTTTGTGTGTATCTCCAAACTGATCTCTGATCTGGAGAATCACAGCACCATTCAAAGGAAAATTCATGCTCTGCATTCCCTTAAAAATTAAGAAGTCAGTTCTTTTTTTTTCCTTTTAAAGATTTTACTTATTTAGTCGAGAGAGAGTACGAGCATGAGCAGGGGGGAAGGGCAGAGAAAGAGGGAGAAGCAGGCTCCCTGCCACACTCGGAACTCAATTCCAGGACCCAGGGATCATGACCAGAGCCAAAAGTAGATGCTTACCAATTGAGCCACCTGGGCGCCCCAAAAAGTCAGTTCTAAACAATAAAGTTTCTTACTCTTGCCAAAGAGAATATGATTACAAAATTCTGGTATGTTTCAATGATTACTTAAATAATGCCTTTGTCCTAGTAATAGTTTCCAGAACTAAGTTCATATGAACAAAAAGGAATAACAAAAAGTGTACCTGAGATTTTAAGAGCTACCTTTGTCCAGTCTCTTTCTGAGGTTTTTCCTCCAAATGAAGAAGCATGCTACCCCAGCCACAACTAACTGGACTACTGGCTAAGCCAGAAGTAATGAGGTAGATGTAAAACTAACCACCAATGACTATGGCAAGATCAGGACCAACTATCAGATATACCCTCCAGGAACAGGTGGAGAGATGCATATAGAGAAGTAAGCAGGGATCCATAGAAAATGAAGACTTATTGTTTTGAGGTATTACAGAATCTTGAATAATCAACCAGCATTAGAAATCCCAAGGATAACAGCACAATTTCCAATTCTTGGAAATACTGAAACACACACAAAAATACACTGCTGTTAGGAGGTTTATTCCATGCTTCCCTGAGTCAAATAGAGCACTGCTTCTGAAAATTTTCAATTCAATACTTTTAATCACATACTGAAGAGTCCTATGCACAGTCCTGCTGAAATTCCTTTGAAATTTCCCATTAGACCTTAAATTTATGTGAATTGTTTATTCTATGCCATGATATATCAAGAGAATGTTTTACTATAAAATTGCTTTCATTAAAATATTTAAGCAAAATCAATGCTTCAAAAAGAAATGCCATGTTTGCTCCACATTTTCATGAATCTTCTAAAATACCAATCAGGGCTATCTCCCCCAGGAAATGAGAATCTAAACTGAACGGTATAAACTTAAGATAACCTAGACATGATTTCCTCAAAACTTAAAAGATTCTAACAATTACATAAATCAAGAAACAGTAAATTATTTTTCCATTTTCTAGTATATTTATCAGAATAAACTTACGATCTGATATGTGGGAAATCCTCTTCAATTTTGCTTCCTGTGTTTTTAAAAATTTGGAGTGCAGCTTCTGCTACTTTTTCATCATCCATTTTCAGACAAGCCAGGAGAGATTCAAATGTTTCAGCAGAATGAAACGAGATGGGATGTGTAAATGAGAGTACCTTAAAAAAATGAGTCATAAAAATGATCTGTAAACCCTTTCCATCTTTATAATATAAATCCATACATACTGGAAATACTCAAATCAAATATAAAAATAATTATGCTAACAAGTACATGAGAGCACTGTAAATAAAGTTTAAAACTTAAATATGTAACAGATATGTTCTAGTGTAGAAGACTGCATGATCTAACAAAGTCATTTCTTTCAAAATTAAATTACTCAATTCTACTCAAAATAATTTAGATTTTAGTTAATGTTTGGGTTTTTTGGAGGAGGATGAGGAGAAAAGGAAAAAAAAGAGAATTTAACAAAATAGCTCTAGTCTTCTAAATAAAGGTCATTAGAAGAGACTAATAACATTTTTAGAAAAAAGTTATCTAGGAAAGAGGGTAAAACAACAGATCGTAAAAGCTACTGTAACATTTACAACTGTTACATTTATCAAATCACTGTACTAACATCAGAAGAAACAAAACAGAAAAAGTAAAACTTTTTAGTCTAAGCATACATTAAGAATTTAGATTAAAGTAGATTATGAAGAAGGAACAGAAAATGAAAATGGATGGGATTTTTAATAAATAGTCCTGATAAAATACACAGCTATTTGGAGAAAATCCAATTAGATCCTCCCCCACAATATATACTTCCAAAATAAATTCCAGATGGGTTATATTTCAGATTGAAAAACAAAAACAATAAAAATCTTCTGAACAGACAGGATTGTTAAGCTTAAAATAAACAACTGGAATCAAACATGGAATGTAAAAACAAGCAAGCAGTAGAAAAATACATTAAACATAATGCCATATTTGTAAGATTCAGAAACAAGCAAAATAAGTGATGTTACTTAGAGATACAAAGATGATAAAACTACAAGGACAGTAAGAGAATGAATAATAAACCCCAAACAACAGAACAATTCAAAACAATTATACCTGGGGGATGTGAATCACAGAAAAAAAAACTACTCAGGGAACTTCAACAGTATTGTTAATACTCTATTTGAGTTAGCATCCTATTTACTTTTCACTGTATTCACTTTATTACTATACTTTATAACACATATAATAGAATACATTTTATTTTTTATATATCAAATATGTCCTATAAAAAAGCAAGGAGAATAAAAAATCTCAATCAGTTAAAAAGAACAAAAAAATTGAGATGTCAGTAGAAAATGAACACAAGATTAAAAAGAGAGAGAGAGAGAAAATGAACACAGGGTAAAAATAATGAATTCACCATAGGGAAAACACTAATGATTGTACCTCACTGCAATAATTACACAAATTAAAACATTATTTTTACTTATCAGATTAGCAAATCTCTAAGATTTATAACATTCCATGTTTGTGAAGATAGGATAGGCACATTCATTCACTGTTGACAGAATTATAAATGGGTATAATTTTTCTGTAAAGGAGTTTTATTAAATTATATACATCCAAAAATTTTGAAAATCATTCTCTTTATATTCCAGCATTAAAAAAAAGACAACAGCAAGAGATCTTAGATGTATTTATCTTTGTAGTGACTATAAGAATAAAATTAGAAAAACCTAAATATCCAGGGAAATAGTTGGGAACTCCATGGCACTGCAAAAGTGGATTAATCACCATTTCAAAAAAATAATGTTTTTTATATTTTTACTACGAGCCAGACACTGTGCTCAAAAACTCATGTTCATGACTTAATTTAGTCCTCTGTGAGGTAAGTGCTATTATTATCTCCATTACAGATGAAGAACTGGAGGCAATGAACCTGCCCAAAAGCATCCATCTAATAAATAACAGCCAAAAACAATTTTTGACACTCTTAAAAAACCTTCTTAAAAAACACTGATAAAAATGTTTATAATAAGGGAAAATAGTCAAGATACAAAATTGTATATATTCAGTCTGATCTCAACTATGTAAGTGTGCATTTTTTTAAAATTAAAAGGAAAACAAAAGGAATGTTTGTGTGTGATAGGCTTATGTTTTCTTCTTTATAATTTTGTATTTTCTAAGTTGTCAATAACTAGTTGATATTTTTATAATAAGTAAAAGCCAGTAGTATATTTTAGCTAACAAAATAAAAGATAAAATGGAGTTTAACGAAAAATTTGGCTCCATGTTTGGTAGGGCTAGCACTTTCCTTGCTCACTAATGAAAACTCCAAATTATAATCAAGTAACAATACTAGGTAGGCTATATTATACAATTTAAACCTGAAAATATTTAGCTTACATGTTAGAGGAAATGTGCAATTTCTAAATTACCTAAAATGGTTGAGAAAATTTTACTTCAGTTTCTATAAAAACTTAAGCAAATCTCAAGAATAAAAAATATATACTATATATATGTTAAACAGTTATCTAATTAGGCACTTAATTTCACCATAAGCATATTTACCTTAAGCAGTTCAAGACCTGCCCTGATGGCTTGATCAGTTGGAACACCCTCATCTTCATCATCTGCTGTTCCATCTATTGATTTATTCACTTGCTTAATAAGAGCACTAAAGTATGACAAAAAAAAGTCATATTTTCAACTGTTCTTTATTACTAATGTCTATGAAAAATAATCATGAATATTTTCTATACAGACCACATCCATAAAAATTTGACAAAGCTGTTTCCCAAACATTACTGCAAAACAAAAAATTATAATAGGTATTTTAAGATACTTCTTTTCAAAAATAGTATTTTTCCTGTCCATTCAAAGGAAGGCCAAATGTTATTTGATTTGCTGTTTATTAATGCTACCTATATTTTTATTCTTGCATTTTCCATAGGAGAATTATGCCCAAACACATGAATAAGTGTTTTCCAATTATCTGAAATTCATTATTGAGTAAATAGAACAATGTATACTAAAATAAGGATAAATGACAACATTAAGCACTTTCAAAATATTTACCAAATTATTACTATGTGTCAGGCACTGTTCTAAGAGCCAGAAACACACAGGCCTGTTCCTGAAAGGTGTAAAAATAACTAGATGACAGACATATAATAAAACTTCAATAGAAATTAGAATAGATTTACAAAAAAAAAACTGCTCTGAAATTTTCTTCTGAAAACAAGCATAGGTTATTTTAAAATAAACATTTATAAAATGCAATACTGTCTAATCATTCACACTTTTAGGTATTTGTTCTTTTTATAAAAAATAAATAACATACACTACAGTTAGAGTAGTAAAAACTATTAAAAAATACTAGTTCAGTGAGGTGATACCAACAAAACACAAAAAAATCAATTGTGCTTTTCAGTATCAGCCAAAACCACCTAAAAAATACAGAGAGGAGAAAAATCTATTCACAATAAGTTAAAATATATAAAATAAGTTTTACATGCACAGAGTCTATGTGTAAACTCCAGAATTATATGAAGGGGAACACAGAGATTTGAATAAGTCAAGACAAGTAATGACATTTTTTCACTATATCTCCAAATGTTATCAGGGGAACACAACTTGGTATGGGACAGGATTCAACAGATGCATTCTATGGCTCAACTGGAAAAATCAATTAACATTTGGGAACAGCCAATTAATTTTAGGGGGAGGGGGAAGGATGAAAGAACTTTCTCAACAAGATAAAAATGTTTCATTAACACCTCAAAAGACAAATGAACCAAGGTGAAAATTCAGTAAGAGTCCAAATCATACAATAATTTATAATAAGGAAACACTACAAATTGGGAAGGAAAGAATTTTTCAGTCAATGGAGTTGATATAACTAGCTATGCTTTTTTTTTTAAAAGGATGAATATCTACTTCCACCTTACACTAAAATGAATTCCAGACCAACTAAAGATTTAAGTAGAAAAACATAACTACCTAGTATGAAAAGAAAGGCAGAAAAATCATAAAGGAAACAACTGATAGATTATATAGTATTTATTATAAATTACACAAATTTAAAAGGCAATCAAACTAGATTAATAGCCTATTTTATAAAGCATTCTTTTTTTGAGGTATTCAATCTTTTTTTTTTTATTATGTTATGTTAGTCACCATACAGTACATCATTAGTTTTTGATGTAGTGTTCCATGATTGTTTTGCGTATAACACCCAGGGCTCCAAGCAACACGTGCCCTCCTTAATACCCATCACTGGGCTAACCCATCCCCCACTCCCCTCCCCTCTAAAACCCTCAGTTTGTTTTTCAGAGTCCATAGCATCACATGGTTCGTCTCCCCCACTGATTTCTCCCCCTTCATTTTTCCTTTCCTTCTAATGTCCTCCATGCTATTCCTTATGTTCCACAAATAAGTGAAACCATATGATAATTGTCTTCCTCTGTTTGACTTATATCACTTGGCATAATCTCCTCCAGTCCCATCCATGTTGATGCAAAAGTTGGATATTCATCCTTTCTGATGGCTGAGTAATATTCCATTGTATATATGGACCACATCTTCTTTATCCATTCATCTACTGAAGGGCATCTCAGCTCTTTCCACAGTTTGGCTATTGTGGACATTGCTGCTATGAACATTGGGGTGCATATGGCCCTTCTTTTCACTACATCTGTATCTTTGGGGTAAATACCCAGTAGTGTTAATTCCTGGGTCATAGGGTAGCTCTATTTTTAATTTTCTGAGGCACCTCCACACTGTTTTCCAAAGTGGCTGTACCAACTTGCATTCCCACCAACAGTGTAAGAGGGTTCCCCTTTCTCCACAACCTCTCCAACATTTGCTGTTTCTTGCCTTGTCAATTTTTGCCATTCTAACTGGTGTAAGGTGGTATCTCAGTGTGCTTTTGATTTGAATTTCCCCGATGGCTAATGATGATGAACACTCTTTCATGTGTCTGTTAGCCATTTGTATGTCTTCTTTGGAGAAGCATCTGTTCATGTGTTCTGCCCATTTCTTGACTGGATTACTTGTTTTTTGGGTGTTGAGTTTGAGAAGTTCTTTATAGATCTTGGATATCAGCCCTTTGTCTGTAGTGTCATTTGCAAATATCTTCTCCCATTCTGTGGGTTGCCTCTTTGTTTTGTTGACTGTTTCCTTTGCTGTGCAGAAGCTTTTTATCTTGATGAAGTCCCAACAGTTCATTTTCTTTTTTGTTTCCTTGCCTTTAAGACATGTCTTGAAAGACGTTGCTGTGGCCAATGTCGAAGAGGTTACTGCCTATCTTCACCTCTAGGATTTTGATGGATTCTTGTCTCACATTGAAGTCTTTCATCCATTTTGAGTTTATCTTTGTGTATGGTGTATGAGAATGGTCGAGTTTCATTCTTCTGTATATAGCTGTCCAATTTTCCCAGCACCATTTATTGAAGAGACTGTCTTTTTAACATTGCTTATTTTTTCCTGCTTTGTTGATTATTTGACCATAGAGTTGAGGGTTCGTATCTGGGCTCTCTATTCTGTTCCACTGGTCTATGTGTCTGTTTTTGTGCCAATACCATGCTGCCTTGGCGATCACTGCTTTGTAATATAGCTTGAAATCAGGCAATGTGATGCCCCCAGTTTTGTTTTTCTTTTTCAACATTTCCTTGGCTATTCAGGGTCTTTTCAATTGATTCCATACAAATTTTAGGATTGTTTGTTCCAGCACTTTGAAAAATGCTGTTAATATTTTGATCGGGATGGCACTGAAAGTATAGACTGCTCTGGGCAGCATAGACATTTTAAAACAATATCTATTCTTCCGATCCATGAACATGGAATGCATTCTTTTTTTTTTTAAAGATGTATTTATTTATTTGTCAGGGGGGCAAGCACACACAAGCAGGGGAAGCAGCAAGCAGAGTGAGAAGCAGGCTCCCCACTGAGCAAGGAGCACAATGTGGGATTTGATCCCAGGACCCTGGGATAGTGACCTTTGCCAAAGGCAGATGCTTAACCGACTGAGCCACCCAGGCATCTATTTCATAAACCATTCTTACAATCAATAAAAAAAAAAGACAATTCCTCCAAGCCCCTCACAGAAAAGTGTTTTAAAATGCAATTAACCAAGAAATATATGGGGAAGAAAAATGTTCAATTTTATTAGTGACACTTTTTTTTTTTTTTTTTTTTAAGAGTATCAACATTTACCTATGAAATGGCAAGGACTGAAAAAGTTAATAACCACTATCAGGAGAGTTAGGTGAATTGGACACTCAGCGACTACTGGTGCAAGGGACTAAGTGTGGAATATTTCTGGAGACCTATTAGATAGTGTGGTGGTTAACCAAGAAGGCTCTGGAGCCAGACTTCCTGGGTTTCAATGCCATTCATCACTTCCTAGCAGTGGGGAAGTTAATTAACATCTGTGTAACTCACTGTTCCTTAACTGTAAATCGGGAATAATATTTCTTGTCTCACATGGTTAAGAGGTAAATAAGTAAACATGTAAAACATTTGGACTCATCCCAGACATTTAGAAGGGCTAATTGCTACTACTTGTTACTGTTATTTATATTTTGACTTACCTTCTGTATCACTACAAACTACTGAAAATAAAGCCAAAGACCTCAGTTTGACTGTTCATAGTACACATTATTTGTGAAAACTTTCTCCACCTTAACTTTCAAAACACTACAATAACCTGGTGTTCTTACACTCCTGTAGTTTTTCTACTGTTGAAAAACAAAATTCCAAGGTTCTGTCCATGATCTTTTAATCTTTTTACTTCTTTCTACACAATCTCATGTACACGGAACAAATCCATTCTCACAGTTTCACATTAAGCTCAATTTGCCTTGATTTTTTAATTGTTTGTCATGTCCAAATAAGAAGCACATCAGTTCCCTTAATTCCTTTCAAAGTATTGCTATGTGCTTCATCACTTGGACTTGAGCTCTTATACTTCTGACTCCTCATCAACTTTATTCCCCATTTCCAGTAAGATGACCCATCTATTAAAACCTTCCTCAAACATAATCTTCCCTTTCCATCCCACTACCAGCATCCATAGACAATTTGTAACACCTTAACAGTCTATCCATTCTACTTCCCTCCTCCCATCCATCATTAAGCATCCATTGTTCTGAACAGACTTAAAACAGTAAAAGCTCTAAAGTTAGACCTTAAATGCTTTCCACAATCTGATCCCAACTATTTTTTTTAGCATTATCTCATAACACTTTTATACCTTTCCATGGCAATCATTTTCTAAATATCTTTGTCCTTTCCTGTCCAGTTAGCTGGTTCATATTAATCTCAGTGCCTAGAATATTCATTCTCCCAACTCTGTAAAAACAAAATCTTACCCATTCTTCCTCTTAGGTCAAATACTACTTTAGATAAATCCTCTTTCAGTCCTCTGAACACTATCTGCATTAATTTTATGAAACTATAATATAATCTCCTGATTAAAACTCCTTATGCATTACCAGAGGGTTAATGAAAAGCAAAAAAATATGCTTTGCCAATACCTAACTAGCATTGTCTTGAATAAAGCATGGGATTATTTAATGACTGAATTTCAGACTGATTCAGTGTCTTCCTTGTACTAATACAGAGGGTTCTGATTTTTTGTTTTATATTGTTTTTCAAACCTTAGAGTCCTTCTTCAAATGAAAACTGATGCAGTAGGAGTCCAAAGTGACTGCTGAGTATCGAAAACAGGGTCTCCCTACTCTGCAGGGGATCGCAGGCCAAAAGCTCCACCCTCTACCCTCCCAAACAAAACAAATCCCCAAAAAGGGTCCATTGGTACAGGATATTATTATTTAGATTCTAATGTATCTCTAAAAGATATTACTGATAACCAGTAAACCAGAATGTTATATATATACATTCTGTAAGCACTTTATTTTTTCAACCAGTCGAAACACTTTAGGAAAACGTTTAAAAAAAAAAAAAAAAAGAACATTTTACATAAGGGAATACAGCCATAAAAAGAAAGTATTTTCCACAGTCAGGTGATATCAAACACTTTCAGTTCTCAAATACCTGTGAAAATGCATCATATGCTGCTTTACAACATACTCACCTAATTTTCTTTTCCTGAGAGTATAATTACAAATTGTTTGTATTACCTAACCTATGCAAACTAAAAAAGAGGAATTCCTGATATACTGGTAACAGATAGAAACTAGGCTTAAATTGACATTTTCTCATTCAAATGAAGTAATACTTAAAATTTAAATAAATAACAAGAAAAATTAAATATACAAAGATATATAGATGAGTGTGTACATATACATACACACATATACATATATACGAACAGATATACGTACAGATATAAATAGATGAGTATATAGCCATTTCACATCTACAAAAATCTGACAGGTTAAGTGCCTTGTGTATAGCAGGTACTCAAAAGCAACTGACTGAAGCATGAATGAATAGTAATGAAAACTTAATATTTTTATATAAAAATACCTGATAGATTCAGTATCTATGTGCACAGGTGCTATCCTCTCCAAGAGAAACTTGATCATCTCCAGGAAAGGATTTGTAGGCTGTTTGGGGTTGCCCAACTTCTTAGTTATTTCACGCTGTAAGGCAGATATTTTTAACTATTACAAAAATATGTTTAAAAAATTACATCATATTAAAATATTAAGAATCTAAAATAATTAAAACCATGTAATACTGGTGTTGGAATAAACAAATCAAGAGAATTGAAGGAGTCCAGAAAAACAAACTAAATTAAAAATTTTGCATAAGGTAACATTTCAACTAACGAGAAAAAAAGATGGATTATTCAATATACTGTGTTGAAATAACTGAACAGACATTTTGAATAAAAACAGATCCCTATCTCATACCTTATGCCACAAACATTACAAAAAGATAGAAACAAATACAAAAGAATAAAACCAGGTTCAGTGGAGACACAAACTTCAGAGAATAAAATTATCAGGGAAGCTTTTTAAAACAACAGATTCCTGGACCTCATTGTGAAGAATTAGTCAATCTGGGGTGGAGCCAAGAATCTTTTTTTTTTTTTTTAAAGCCTCTTGGAAGATGCATGGGCAACAGATTGAGAAATATTGACATGAGTAAATATTTTCATTGACTTGCAATAGAATGGAGTTTTGTAAGCAGGACATAAAATGCAAAAACCTTGAAGAGTCTGCTGATAGACTCAGCTACATAAAAATAAAACTATGGTATGTAAAGGACATCATAAACAAAATCAAAGGGCAACCTACAATGAGAGAAAATTATCTGCAACTTAATTAACATACATGACTAACAAATCAATAAAACAAATGTCATTCCAGAAAAATAGGCAAAGATTAAAAACACACAATTTACAAAAAAAAATATATAAATGGCTAATATGCCCAAGAAGAAAAAATCATCAGATGATTAGCAAACAAGAATACAAATCCTACCAAAATAATTATGTTTTTCTTGGAGTTCTGCTTCTTTCCAATAATGATAGAAGCCAATACTGAATCTATACTAAAGAAATAATCAAGACTGTGAAAAATTATTTGGCTATAAAGATACTAAAGTGTTCTTTAAATAAAAACTGGGAAAAAATCTAAATGTGTAACACAAGTGGACTGTTCAATAATTATGGTACATATATTCAATGGTATCCTAAACTGCTATTAATACTATAAAAGACTAATAAAAATAAGTAAAATGAACAATGCTGTATGTATATGATCTTATTTTGGAAGATATACACCATAATATTAACAGTAATTGTCTCTATAAAGGGGTTACAGTTTATTGTCATTTTTGTGATATTTTACATAATGAATATAAATTTCACATAATGAATACAAAATTCACATAAATGAAGACAAATTATTTTATTAAACATGTCAAAATTTTACATAATGAATATATGTGTTATTTTACATAATGAATATACATTCTACATAATGAACATACATTATTTCCTTAAAGGAGTCAAAAAAGGTTTGGGGCTTCTTCAAACATTAGCTCTTTTTGTTTTTGTTTTGTTTTGTTTTTTTATGAGAGAGAGAATCTTAAGCAGACTCCACACCCAGCATGGAGCGCATCGTGGGGGGCTCGATCTCAACCCTGAGATCGTGACCTGAGCCAAAATCAAGAGTCTGACACTTAACCAACTGAAACACCCAGGTGCCCCAAACATTAGCTCTTTTTATTTTTATTATTTATTTATTTTTTAAAAGATTTTATTTATCTATTTGAGAGAGAGAATGAGACAGAGAGAGAGAGCATGAGATGGGGGAGGATCAGAGGGAGAAGCAGACTCCCTGCTGAGCAGGGAGCCTGATATGGGACTCGATCCCGGGACTCCAGAATCATGACCTGAGCCGAAGGCAGTCGCTTAACCAACTGAGCCACCCAGGCGCCCATTTTTATTTTTTTTTTAAAGATTTTATTTATTTATTTGTCAGAGAGAGAGAGCATGAGCGGAAGAGGGGCAGAGGGAGAAGCGGGCTCCCTACAGGACTCAATCCCAGGACCCTGGGATCATGATCTGAGCCAAAGGCAGACGCTTAACCAAATGAGCCACCCAGGCATCCCAACTCTTTTTAAATGTCTCTCCTTACCACACAGCCTTCAGCCTGCTTGCAGGAGCATGTTGGACTAACAAGTACTTCTAACTGTTTTCTTATTTTCTCATCATCTTCCAACACCTGTGTGAACTTCTTCATGAAATCCTGAGCCTTACCAGGATCTGGCAAATTTCCTTAAATAAATTAAAATTCAGTAAAAATACCATTTTAGAAATTTCTCAAAATAATAAAAGATCAACATTTTTCAGTCTTTTTATTACTTTGATTAATAATCCTAATTTACACATTCAGTTTAGTTTAATTAGAAGTTGTGGAACAACTTCAATACTCAATTTTCACAAAATTCTGCTTTCTAGAAATATGAAACAAAATCACTGCGAAGGAACATCTTTGTAGGAAAAGACTGAACTGGCTATTTCTAAATAACCCCTTACAATATTTAAGGGCACTAAATATCAACCTGAATGATACCAATTTATTACTGTCTCCTTGAGCTTGTTATGTACATTGTTCTCTTGTAACTTCCAACAAGAGATCAGTAAGTTTTACCTTTAAGAAACTATTTTCCTGTATTGCATTAATTTGTTAAACCATCCAGAGATAATTCCTATACACATGCTATCATTCAATAAAACATGCTGAGCAAAATGTTTCAGGTGTTACTGTCGGATATGTCATTATTGCATGAGAAAGGATAAATCCCCGTAGAATCAAAGATGATTTCTATACCACTCTCCTAATATACTGATGTATCAAAACACTTATGAAAGCTAGTAAAATGTTGATCCCAGTGTCTTCTGGGGGGGAGGGAGGCTACTCACAACTGTTATAGAGGACCAGACTAGGATACTTCCAATAACAGAAATTATAATATAGAACTATGGACTATAATAAAAATTGTAGAAACTCAACTAAATCTTAAAATATAAATGCAGTAAGTGCAGTCTTCAAGTTCATATACAACTTTGAAATTCCATTTTAAGTCTTAGCTAGATCACTGAGGATAATAAGAACAAAGTGTTCCTATTATAAATACTTGACTATATGATCTTTTCATGTTTCTATAACACAAAAAATCTACTGTACTGTCTTCAAATAATTTTGGAAGATGTCACTTTACAGCCCCTCCATAATGTATAGGCATCATACTAAAGGCTACAATAAGGTCTACTATTCAAGAAACAAACAGAATTGGGGCGGGGGGAGTGGGAGGAAGAGAGAGAGAGGGAGAAGGGAGGGAGGAAACAAATTAAAAAACCCTTTAATTCAGCATTCTACAAACGTACTTGACCATGAAACCCTTTTTTCTAACAATACTATTAGCACCTATACAGGATACTAGCATTCCTCAGAACAGAATTTGGGAAAACAGACAGGGGTAAAAAAATAGAAAAAATATAGATGACCTCCTTTAAGAGAGAGTATCCACAGCCAAACAGCAAGGAGATAGTTATTAAAAAGCAACAGCAGAAAATCACTTGCTTTAAGTTATCTAAAGAAATTGAAAACTAATTTATGTTTAACTGCCCAAGACTAAAAGATATTTTGGTCCTAAAGCCTTACTCAGGCTAAAACTCCTATCACTTAGTCTAAAACTCAGTTAATTCAGTTACTGTTCTCTTCAGTATTTGAGCATTACTTCCATACACATCTTGGAATATTTGTTAACATCTCAGAAATTCATCTAAGATAGATCTCTTCACTATTCCCAAGTGGAAGCTCAGCAGAAATGTTCCTCCAGGTGTTCCTGATATTCCCTTTGTCCATGTGCTGCACTATACACAGTGATCTCTGAAGCAGGAGGAAAAGCAAATGCCCTACAAAAACAGCTACTTTACCCATTCCCTGCACTGAACAAAAGAGATGTGCTACAAAATCCTTTTGTATTTACTGTCAAATGCAATTAAATAACATTTTATTTGAAATCCCTGGAAAGCAAAAAAGCAAATTAGTATTTTTTTTTTCAAAGAAGCTCTTTTGTAATTATTATGTATACACTTTACTCTAAATTTTGGCTTAGAATGAAATTAGCTTCAAATAGAGTCACATTAGAGCAAGCACAGATTCAGTTTTCACAGTAAGCTTATGCAACAGTTTGAATGAATTCCCAAAAATAAATTTATGTAATAAATCCTTTCTCCAGTTCTTGCTCATACCAACACAAAAAGAAAAAGAAAAATTCTGTGTAGCAAAGTAAATGAAAATTAAAAAAAAGAAGAAAAGCTGAAGCTGTTGAAAAAAAAAATCAATCAGAAACACTTTATACTCTTTTCCTATATTATCATAGCCTAAAATGAAACTCCATGAAACACTTTAAATTATCAAAAAGAAATATTTCAATTAAACCTTAAACTCTACATGTAATATTTGAAATAACTTACTTGTAATAACCATCACTTTTGAAAATATGGCCTTGACACTGGCGTCTGTCTGTAAATCACACACAAAAAAGCAAAATTAACATTTCCTAACAATAATCTTCGTTATACCCTTCAGAAAATTAGATAAGCAAAACCTACTAATGCTTCAGGCCCACGCCCTGACCACCACAACTGTGAGCTCCCTCTTCAGTTACGTTTAAACTCCATGAAGTGAATGAAAGGTGAATGTTCTACTGTTGTCATCTCTCCCCCCTCACCCTGTTTTGTCATCCTCTAAACAAAAGGAGACTACTACACCAACCTTTTGAAACAGGGAGATATTTTGTTTTCTCTAGCAATGAAACAGGGCAACTAAGTGTAAAAAAGGAACAAAATAACCTGGTTTTCAAGTTTGAAGCTTATCTCAAACAAAAAGTTCACAAGTATATAATTCTGAATGACCTGAGGTGTTCCTAAAATTTTTAAGCCTGAGGATTATAAGGCATAGTCATGGAGCTTACGGGGAAGACACTGGATAAAGACAATTTTAAGAAGATGCCACTGACATGTACAAAAGATTTTTACAGGAGTGCTACTTACTTGCTGTATCAACATAGTATTATTTCAGTGAATGAATGTGTTCACCACATTGTACCCCATGTAAAGTCACATGTACAAAAGATGTTTCTAAGAGTGCTAGTTATTCACTGCACCAAGTTAGTGTTATTTCTTTAAAAAAAGATGTCTTTGAGCAACTCTGTATAATACACTGAACTAGAAAAACATTGGCGTGAAGGCAACAAATCAAATAAATACACAAATAAACCATCCCTATTCACAAGGAGCTTCCTAAGAGGAAGCAAGAGACAAAACATAAAATACAAGAGTTAATTCCCAAATATTTGGAATTTAAAGTATTTGAATGTATCTGTCTAGAATCATGTAAGATATCTGTTGTTTAATTTGGGGAGAAACAGGTATTGCTGGGCTGTGAAGAAGTTGATCCACATGAAAAAGAAACAGCAGCAACAAGAGTACAATACTGGAAATAATGTCACTTTGAGTGACACTGAGTAAACGAATTTAGTTAAATAAAGTAGAAGGGCTACAGTGCTGAACTAAATAAGAATATTTATCAGACTGAATAATGAAGAAGGCAAAGAAACATTCACTGATTAATAAGTATGTAAGAGTCTTCCTAGTAAAATAGGAAGAAATATAAACACCCAAAGGATAAACACAGCTTTGCATTTTTTCTACCTTTAACTCTATAATGTCTACTATATTTCTTGGTATAAAATGAATACTAAGTAATAAGAGACTATTACTTCTCCTTTCACTAGAATTCCACTTTGGGCTACCATCTTCTTCCATTTGATTTCTGCATCAACCTCCCATCACATTAATGAGAATTCCCTCTTTAACCTGGACAACTCAGTAATTATTTTGAATTTCCTCTTTAGCTTGGACAACTCAGTAATTATTTTAAGACAATTTAAAGGAAAATTCCACAAAGTAGAAGACATTAAAACATTTTAATTGAATTATGACTGTATTTTGTTATTTCACATGAGAATGAAGTCATGAGACCCTCCCAAGTTGCTATCAACAGGCAAGGGGAAGAAGTTCCCACTAAATAAATTTTAAAGGGACAGTGAGAGTCAAAAACAAAGTTATTTTTTATTAGTCTCACACATCATGCTGTTCAACATATGATCTGCACACTTAACATACTACTCTACTGCTATTATATGACTTCAATAATGCCTAAAATCAGGAATAATTTTATATACATGCATATAAAAACATCTGGTATTTTTAATTAACACCTTTGCAACTCTGACTAAAAGGAAGTAAATTAATACAGCTCTAGGTAGCAAACAGGAGCACTTTCTCCAGAGCTTAACTGAAATACACTAACTTACTGCATTCCAACACTGACTGAAAATACATGTTTATTGGCTGAAGCACACTAACTTAATTGGGAGTTTTCCAATTTTGTTCCTTGGCAGACAAAGTACTGAAACAGCAGAATCACTACAATTAGTTTTAAGTCATCTATTATAAGAAAAAACTTATTCTAGCAGGTTCAATAATTACAGGTTTCAATAAACCATAAACAAAGAGGTTACTATTCGCCTCCCCTTACATGAAACAACTCCTCTCTACTGACCTCTGTTCTATGAGCATGCAGTGTATGTATGTTTTGTTTTGTTTTGTTTTTTGGAGGGGGGGTTTAGGGGACTGGGGGGGGTTCCACTAAGGACTGAAAAGAAATTAAAAATAACAGTATATTGTTATTTTTGTGTGTTATATATTTCCTTGGATGCAATTTAAAATGGCCACACATACTGCTTTTTTGATGAATTATAACTTTTATAGGCCTATATACAACATTCTCAAACAACATTCTAGGGGAAAAGAACAGCCAGAATCATTCTAAAAGTCTAAAAAATAAAATATGATTCATCAACTGGATGAATACCACCATTAACTTATAATTATGAAAACCAAGTAGTACATTAAAATTACTGTAATATTAATTGTAAGTAAAAATATAAAGATATGTAATTAAAATTACATGACATTAAAATTTTCTAAAACCAAAAGACTATACAATGGGAGCATTTTAGTGTGGCAAGATAAAGTGCAATTTTACTCTATTTTCTGTGCTTTCAAAGATATGGAGTCATTTCCTGGTTTTTTTAAAGCCACAAAAAAACTTTAATTCTGAATGCAAAGAAATACATTCTCTTTCCTGTTGGGTATCACTTTTTATATAGTAAATGTAAACTTTAAATTTTTCTATGCAATAAGTTTCTTAAAGATTTCATTGTTCTAAATTAGAGATCATAATTTCTGGAGTAGAACAGTTCCACACAGAAACAGTTGTTCAACACCACTGTAGCAGTGGTAAGGAGTAACTAAAATACATGCGTTTTACAAAACTTATCATCAAAGGAAAATTTTTCATTAAATTTAACTTACTTTGGGTTGCTTAATTAAGTCAAGCAAATCCTTCACTTGATGCCGGAGCAGATTTTGACATTTCCACATTTCATTCAGTGCTCTGCAAAACACAAACACATAAATTTAAATAACAAAACAATAAAAATCCTTCCAGAATATTCCAAATATATTGGGTTTTTTTTTTAAGGTCAAATTAAAAAAAGAGATGACAGAGATGAGGTAAAATTCACAGAACTAAGCAACTGATGATGTATGGAGCAAAAGGGAAGAGGTATGAACATGTGAAGGGATATCTGTATCAAAAGAAAGTAAGTGGTTGTGTTTTGTTTTATATAAAAATAGGGAAGAGCTATCATTACCTGCAATATGTGTGTAAACTAGGATATAGGAATTACCTACAGAGATAATAAACTTGAGAAACAAAGGAATATTTGATGGAGTAAGGTCCTGCAGTGGGCAGGATGAAAAGGAATCAAAGCCACAAACAGAAGAGTTCTAGTGCTGAGAGAATGGGGTATACTTTTTCCTAAAACAGAAATATTTATATTGTAACTTTATATATTACATGTTTATGTATATTATTATAAAAATGTAGACTATGTACTTATAGGTAAGTATACAAAGTTAGTCATTATAATAAGATTAAAATGTATAAACCAAACTGATGTAAAAAAAAAAAAAAAGCTCTCACTTGTTTTATTTAATCCTCAAATTCTGTTTAGAGTTAGAATCTATGTGTTTAGATTTTTTTAAAGAACTATTAATTTATTTATTTATTTGAGAGAGAGAGAGAAAAAGAGAGCACACATGTGAGTGGGGGAAGGAGAGAGAAGCTCAAGGAGACTCCCCACCCAGTGCAGAGCCCAAGAGGGGGCTTGATCTCACAACCCTAAGATCATGACCTGAGCCAAAACCAAGAGTCAGAATCCCAACCAACTGAGTCACCTAGGCACCCCTATGTGTTTAGATTTTTAAGTACTCACTGAGGCCTACAGTCTGAAGTATAGCTGTTACAGTTAACTAAATAAAACATTTATTATTACCTATAATATATAACATATATTCTATATACTCCATATAAAATATATAAATATATTTATACTACATAAATTTGACATGTATTTATATCCTATCTATATTTACTAGGTTATATAAATATGTGTATTTACATATTACTATATGTAAGTGAATATTATTTTTATATGGCAAAATTTTTGATGTCCTCTTAATATTTTTGTTTTCAGACAGAAATTGAAATCTAAAATTATACACATACTCAAGAAAATATGCAGAAATCATGAGAAGTTAATGTTACTGAAATATTAATTTACAGAATTCAGAACCACACATATTTTAATATTCGAAGAGGAAATTTTCCAAAACCAAATACTTTTCATTATTTTGTTTTCAGTTACCTACACTTCATTAACCTCCACTATCACACATATTAAGCACTGCCATAAAACAGTAATATAGTACAAAAGCATATAAAACCACCTTTTTTTTCGACAAGACAATTAATTGTTAAAAATTTTCATTTTCCTCAACACTCTGTTTTAAGAATACCTTTGGATACTCTTATGGAAATAGTTTAAATTTGGACACTTAAATTCCTTTACAGTAGTCATCTCAAAATGGTACTGGCAAAGCAACAGCATTTTATCTTAGAAGTTAAATTTAAAATAACTATACTGTTCTCAAGTTATTAAATTTCCATAAAAGTTTAATTGAAACACTTTAAGAATGTACACATTAAAAGAAAAATGACCAGTATACAGAGGACTATAAAAATCTAGTAACTAAGAGTTATGTAATTAAAATAATTTTCAAAGAAACAGAGTAGTCATCTGTGAAATTACTTCTGAACTCCAAAGTCAATGAATTGTCTCTTGCTTCTTAACACTTCATCATTACTTACAACTTCTGACAGGCCTGGATTTTGAAACTAGCCTTCACTTAAAATACTTAAAATAAAGCAGGAATTATTACACCTCTAATAGCAATTTGTTGATTTAAAGATGAAATCTCAAGCAATTCCAAAGCTCCATTATAAACTATGATGGCTATAGTGTAAATCAAAAAGCGACCATCACTAACTAAGATTTTGTACTGTAATATATTTTTAGGGAAACCATCCTCTCAAGTACTTTAGTAAAATTATCTTAAGCAGCAAAGACAATTTATCCTTGTGCTTGCCTTCCTAAATAATCCTTTAAAAAGAAAAAAAAAGTAGAAATAATATTACTACAACAGGAAGACAAATATAATTTAATATGAGCCTGAATTCCAGCTCTGTCACTAAATAAACATGAAAAATTTGATTAGAGAATGGATATTCTTACAGTTATTACCTGTCTAGTCTTCTTACTAGGGCTTTGCACTAACTCAAAGAAAAAGGCAGCTACCATCAGGTGGCTGTCAGAAACCTGTACAAATGTTGAAGAGAACCTCTCCTCCAACATTCTGCTCCCAGTTGGCAAAACTGCCCACCAGACACAGCAGTACAAAAACAGTCTAGATGAGAGCCTGCCTAATGAAAGACATCATATCCATGACACCTGAAACTACCACTAACTCTTGTCATTAACAGTTGTTCTAGGAAGCCTGGGGGAGGTGGCAACACACATCATGATCGGAGAGTACTCAAGCCTGCCTCTGCTCTCTTTTTCACTAATCAAGATATTTAGTGGGACACCTGGGTGGCTCAGTCGGCTAAGTGTCCAACTCTTGGTTTGGGCTTGGGTCATGATCTCAGGGTTGCGGGATCAAGCCCCATGAGTGAGGCTCCCCACTCCGTGGGGAGTGTGCTTGAAGATTCTCTCCCCCTGCCCCTCCCCCTTGTGCAGACACGTGTGCATGTGCACACTTTCTCTCAAATAAATGAATCTTAAAAAAAAAAAAAAAAAAAGATGGTTAACTTAGGGGTTTACCCAAAATTGATACACATCACAAATTTTAAATATAGGAAGTATTCTGTCTTCCCCAAAAGAATATGGTCACAGAATAAAATATATGGTTCTTTCATAAGAAAGATCTTATCAAACAAGTTCTTACCATGAACCTGCCTGCCAAGCAGCTATTTTTAAGTGCCTTTCAAACTAATTAGAGATTATAAATTCAAATGAATTCTGGGCTAGAATAGTAATGTAATGAATAAAGTAGGACAGATGTTATAATACAGAGTGGTGAGGACTGTGATAAGATTAGAAACATTATTGAAAACATCAAGATTATTACTATTCAGGAAAATGAAAAAAAAGATGAGACAAAATTTAAGACCCAAAAGATTTACAAAAAATAAGATGTAAAGAAAATGAATGACCAACAAGCTATATATATTATGGATGAATCTTAGGAATGTAAGAAAATGGGGGGAAAAGTTCACAGAAGACTATATCCACAATTCACTTTCATAATGTTCAAAAATAAGCAAAAATAAATATTATGAGGGATACATATACATATATATGATGAAACTGTTTTATTTATTTTATTTTTTTGATAAAACTATTGTTCAAAGATTTATTTATTTATTTTAGAGAGAGAAACAGAAAGCAGAGGGGAGGGGCAGAGGGAGAGGTAAAGAAGCAGCCTCCACATGAGCATGGAGCCCAACATGGGGCTTGATCCCAGGACCCTGAGATCATGACCTGAGCTGAAATCAAGAGTCGGTAGCTTATCTGACTGAGCCACCCAGGCGCCCCATGATAAAATTATTTTTTAAAAAGGAAATGAAAAATACATAATTAAGGTTAGTGGTTTCCTCTAGGTGGAAGACAGGAGGATGAAAGGGAGAAGAGTTCACAAGTTGGCTGTAGATTCACAGATATATTTACTTTATTACTATGCTTCGAAACTCATATGTGATTTCTTTGTATGCATTAAATATTTCAGAATAATAAATGTAAAGACTTTTGGAAAAATAAATCACAAATGTAAAGTTAAAAGTATTAAAGTAATAAAATGTTAAGTATTAGATTTACAGTTGGTTAGTTAATTCTAAAATGTTGGTTAGAATTAAAAAATCATTTAAAAAATATTATAAATACCTTAAGTGTTTTAACTTAAAACAGATAAAAATCTATTCACTTACCAACCATTTTTGTAGAAACTATTGGATCTATAGACTGGAATTTACTTTCAACTTTTCCAAGGCATTATTTTTCAGTGTATCTCTTGTGATTAGCATTTTTACTTTTTAATTCAATCAAACATACTTGTTATTTAAATGATAAATGATATCTGATATATGTAGTTTTTTTTGTTTTTTTTTTTAAGATTTTATTTATTTATTCATGAGAGACAGAGAGAGAGAGAGGCAGAGGGAGAAGCAGGCTCCCAAGGAGCAGAGAGCCCGACGCAGGACTCGATCCCAGGACCCTGGGATCATGACCTGAGCCGAAGGCAGACGCTTAACCATCTGAGCCACCTAGGCACCCCATATGTAGTTTTTTTTAAAGATTTATTTATTTGAGAGAGAGAAAGTGCACAAGCAAGCAGGAGTGCAAGGTGGGGGGTGGGGGGAGCAGTTGCAGGGCTGGATCTCATGACCCGGAGATCACTACCTGAGCCGCAATCAACAGTTGGACGCTTAACTGACTGAGCCACCCAGGCGCCCCTGATCTATCTATCTATCTATATATAGTTTTATAACTGCTATTTAGTGTTTTCGATTTACAATTATGTTTCATTTCCATTTCTCATATTAAAGTTTTCATTAATTCTTTTTTGGTCCTATGGTTTTGGAAGCCAACATTCTAATTCTGTTCTTTCAGAGCAACTCAAATTTTTAATTCATACACTTAATTTACAACCTAATTAACAATTAGGCTCACTCTTCTATGATAAAAGAACCACAGAACATTTTAGCTACATCTTACATGCTGTTATCTGATAGGATCCACCTTGTATTCAAAACTCTTCACAAAGGCACAGCACCAATCAATCAGAACAGGTGGCAGTAGAACAAGGGCCTGAAGGTCCTTCTGCTGTGCCCAGGCACAGGCGAAAGTGGGGTGGGGAGATGATCCCAGGGACTCTCAAGAGATCTTACATACTGTTCCAGGAAGGGTGTGCTGGCTAAATATCAGCCAGGATGCTAACCTAGTTTTTAATCTTCACCTCCTTCCCTTGTAAAGAAAACTTTGTTGTTGTTATTATTGTTGTTTTTATAGGCATTATTTAGACCTGCAAAAGTGTTTGAAAATTTTGTCACTTCTTACATCCTATTCCTTCCTTCTGAATTTTTTTTACGAAGAGAAATTATTATTCTTTAGTAATTTTCTCAAGTAGGATATATGAGTGGTGAACTCTCATTTTTTGCTTAAGAGTGTCTTTCATTTTTACTCATGAATGACAGGTGAGCTGAGTCAGAAGCCTAGACTATGATTTGACACAGACTGTCTCAAATAGGGATGGAGTGGGGAGTGTGCTATATATCTTACTCTCATTCATTCCAAGAAGCCATCAATTGCACCATGAATAAAAGGATGCACTCTAATTCTAGAGGTGTTAGCATATGACAATTGTATGCTTTAAAATCAATTAAATATGGTAGTAACATATTTTACTGTATGCGTATAAAAAGAATGAACTTTGGAACCAGGTAGAGTTCAAATCCTGACTCTGTCTCTTACTACTTGTGTGATTTTGTGCAAGTTAACTGACCTCTGGAATTCAGTTCCTCATGTGAAAAACAGGAAAAAATATCACACGAGGGGTTGGCAACCTTTTCTATAAAAGGCCAGATAATAAATATTTTAAGCTTTATGGACATACAGTCTCTGTTGAAACTACTCAATTCTGCTGTTAAAGCACAAAAGCAGCCACTGATAATACATACTCCTCTGCCTGAAATACAGCAGATAATAAGAAATTTACATTCTCCCCTCTACAACTTTTTCTCCAATGTTTCTATGAAAGGTATAATTGGCACATATAATAATTTTCATGCAAGAAGTCAAAAGTCCCATTAAGCAGAGGTAGGAATGAAAATTATATGCAGCTCCTTAGACTTCCAATTTCTGAACATTTAATCCCCCACTTTTTTTTTTTTTAAGATTTTATTTATTCATTTGACAGACACAGCGAGAGAGGGAACACAAGCAGGGGGGAATGGGAGAGGGAGAAGCAGGCTTCCCTCTGAGCAGGGAGCCCGATGCGGAGCTCGATTCCAGGACCCTGGGCTCATGACCTGAGCCAAAGGCAGACACTTAATGACTAAGCCACCCAGATGCCCCTTAATCCCCCACTTGAACTACATTTGCTGGAATGCAAAGGACCTACATTTTCTAAAACCTAGAGCAAATCAATCTTTAGGTTTCAATTTCCTAACCGTCAGTATGATTCAATTAGTAATGTCTCTTCCATGTCCAAAATGCCAATTCTGTATAAGGGCGCTCAAAAGTATTTTCTGAATGAAAAATGGCCATTAAAATATATTTGTGCTTACCCGTATGCCAAACTAGAACACTATGTTGAGGCTATGCAGCACAAAAATATGTACCCTACTGCCCTACAGCAAAATTCAAATGAGCATGAGGTCAAAATAAGGTGGTAGGATTTTCTCAGTATGGACCTTAACGCCTTAAGGGAAAAAAAACAAACAAAAAGGTACATCAATACTTCTTGAAACAACAATATGAACGTCTGGGGAAAAAAATCAAATCCTGAAAGATTCCATGTCAATCAGCTCTATTTTTTAATTGCTTACAAAAATCCTTGTTAATCTCATGTTGATAGCAGTACCTTTGAAAAAACAGCCAAGTATTTTATTGTATCTGACCATTTAAACAATGTTTGTATTACATAAATTGCTAACATTTAAAAATACAGTTGTGGTTTTTTTCCCCATAAAATCCAATACACTGAAAAAGATGAAAAGAACAAAATCTGACATTTGAAACATACTTCACAGCATTTAAATCCAGTGTGGCATACAAGTAATATAAGCACTTCATCCGTTCTGTAGTTTCCAAATTGTGGGGAACCATGTATTGGGCAAAGATGCGTTCAACAAGCAATCTACAAAAACACAGAGAAGGTACTGTAATGATTTTTTTTAAGTATTAATTTGTATATAAAATTCCAAAACACACAAAGAATACATATAAAAAGTTTCTGCTTTCTAAATGGAGAGGAGATTTCAACTGAATGATTCCTTCTATAAGAAGAGGGGCTCAAAAAAGATTTAGCTGGATGTACTGGCAGGAGCCCTATACCCAGCTAAGATAACTACCTCTGCGTGACCTTGAGTGTATATGAGGGATTCAATTTCCTTATCTGAATAATAAGTGTTAAAAAACCAGGTCCTTCCAAATGACAAATTCTATGCATCTCTAAGTTAAAATTATAAAGACATTTTTAAGATTCTTCCAAGTTTCTGGAGTAAGCATCATGAAAAGACCTGGTTAAAAGTTAAAAAAAAGGCACTAGCAAATAATAATGCAAATCTCCATGCAATGATGCTGCACACTCAAAAAGTCTAAAAATGTCAATTTTATAAAAATAATAACTACGAAGTTTCTCAATGTTAACGTAAGATACCTAGTTCCTAGTTCCTAATAACTTTTAAAACTGTAAGGTGGCCTACTGGTTCTTAATTTTCTCATTCTCATCTATTATGGGTGAGACCATTTGGATCTAAAAATTTAAAATAAATCCAAGTGAAATCCTGCAAGCAGGATTCACAGATCTATTTACTACTAAATGGTTAGGATCCATACAAGATCTAATCTTATACTGCAATAGAAAAATACAAAGATTATATTCAGATAATGTGTTTCAAATAAAATTATAAACTGTCTTTTTATCCTTCGGTAGAAACTTGTTTATTTAAAATGTCTATAATCCAAAAGGCTTATTTTCATTTATTTGAAAACATTTTATTTGAAAAATAACCTATGAAATAAAATTTAAATTATTACACATTTCTACTCTTAAGTACAGCTCTGTTTAAAAATAGTATACAAAAATGAACATAAAAGCTGTATCCCTCCCTAAAGTTTTATGTCATTAGTGCTTCATTTATGGCTTGGTGGAAGAAAACTAGTCACTCACTACCTTTAACTTGCAGTAAAAACTGAGAGACTTTAAAGTCATAAAGAAAGCAGCTTACCTAAAACAACAGATCAAAACAGCTTAATACACCAAAAGCACTATATATTTTAGATATGGTGTCCTTAACTTACCGATCATCAATACTATTTTGATAATATATGTGTAGCAATTTGTCTTTGATCCATGAAATCTGTTTTGCAGCATCTTTTCCAGCCGCTGATTGTAAAGCATACTTCTTATAAATTTGGGCAAGTCCCATCATGGCTTCTTTGCGCACTCTCCACTTAAAGTAAAAACAAAAACGCTTTCTTAAAATTTAAAAATGCTCACATTATATTTCAGGAAAGTCTGTTTTCTTGTTTTTAAGTTGCTTTACACAATATATCTTCATCAATCCTCAGTTACTGGATATCAATTTATAAAGACTATGAAAAAAACACAACTATCATTTTAATACATCTACTATATAAGTTACAGAGATATCAACATGTATAAAGAATTCTAATGCTTTAATATCTTAAACCCATCGTTACCTCTAAAAAACAAAAGTTAATCACCATCACAAAAAGTCACTTAGAATTGGTAAGGGAAAGTATGCTACAAAATTTTAAAAGGCAAAGAATGAGCTAATTGTGACCTATCCCTTATACATTTTTTCCACTTACGGCGTACATTAAATATACTTCAATTAAAGGTACATGACACTGGTTTCATCAAATGCTGAGTAAACACACTCAGTTCATTTTGTATATTTAAGAATCAAGTGTAAGAGGAATGTATTCAACTATTTTTTAAAATACATATTTGCTATAATATATCTAATACTGCTTCATTAACTTGGGATGAGTTTATTTTTTAATTTTACACAAACAGCACTACAATCAGTAAGATGTTAGTAATGTTTAGAGCTTCATGAAGCTACACAGATGTTTCTTTTTTTTCTTTGCAGTCTGTCTTGATTGTATATTCTTCTTAGTTTTTCTTTAAATTACTTACAGCAGATTAAGAACAGTCCTTATCTCATCCATCCACTGATACATATTGAAATAAAAGACTTCAAAAAGCCTTACTCATAAAATAACAATTCAATTTGTTTGTAGGAACTTTCTAATTCTCTATCTTATCTCTAATTCCCCAAACTGCTGCTTTAAGGAGAATTTAAAGATAGAGCATATTCTAATACTGCCAAGAACATAAATATATGCCATTATTTTTTGGTACCCAATTAATATTTGTATGAATGAACCAAGCAGCCCTATGATGAATACAACATGATTATCAAAAATTATGTGAATTTATGCGACCCCAACAATACACAGATACTTAGCTCAAATTCCAAGTCTAACAAAGAAAAAGACTACTTGAACACTTAGAAGGTTGTTATCCTACCACGAAGCAAATCTCCTTTTCCTTCTTTATGCCTTTTGGACCTTTCATTAAAACCCTATGAAATATTCAATAAAGACAAGTCTAAATTTATTAGTTAAAATAAGTTATTGTTAATACCTATACATTTGGAGGGAAAACTATGCAATTCCTGCCCATCTATTCTCTAACCACAACCAGCATTACCAAAGAGAGCATTAAATGATGAAGACAGCACAATCAACCTTATAAGCAACTATTAAAATGTCGTAAAGTATTTAATAGTCAAAACTATTCACAACTACCAACAGGCCTCCCACTTTCTTTGCTAATTAATCCCCAAATACATCAATAATTTTCATCCCTCACCAAAATTACTCAAGCCTAAATCCAGTAAAACCCACACCAGAAAGGAAAGGCACTGGGGATGAGGAGGGAATGAACATTCACTCACATACTTTACGGAGTCTCTAATATACTCCAGGCAATATGAATACAATAAGAAGACACGGTACACCTCCTTAAGAAGCCAATGATTACTGAGTGCAGCTAGTGGGTGTTCACTCAAGAGGAAAGGTTTAGGGTCACAGAAGATAGGGCTGGAAGCATGCTGTTCTGCTAGTTTTAGCTGTGCTAAGTTGAAAACATGTTATTTTCTACTCCACAGAAATTATAACACAACCAGCTAAAAGACTATCAACTGATAGCCATATGAAAAGAAACAGAAGAGAGCCAACAACATAAGAAGCTGTGTCAGAGGCCGTTACAAGTCACTTATTAAAACTAATGTCCAGGCTAAACATCTGACTACCATTTAGAGCCAACTCATTTTTAAGATGAGAATGATCTGAATTTAAAAATCTAACAAAATATAAAAAATAAAACCTCATAAATATTAAAATGCCCCCCTAAAAAGGGCTAATTACACTTAAATCTCAATATTTTCAAGTGAAATACTATTAAACTTAAAGTATTCAAAGTAAAAGCCTACTACTGCTAATTATTATTCCTACTTACCCGTTTGTCTAAAGTTCTCTCTCTCACAAAATTAAGTAAGTGATCGTTGACCAGAAGAATATCCTTTTTAGCAGCTGTAACTATAGACACAATAACATCATGTCTAATAGCTTCTTCAGGGTCATGTGACCTCACTTTAAGATACTCTGAAAGACAGAATTTTATTTGATTAAAATGGAACTTTAACAATTAAAAGATTGCATAAGTCCTTTTTGTAAGTAAATCACAACAAAACAAAACCTAAGTAGAAGGTTCAATGTTTCAAGAAAATTAAAAGCAGAGGAGGAAGGGGAGCAGAAATGAATGTCAGTCCATTAGTTAAAATACAGTAGTTTACTTACATGCAACTGAGTACTAAAACTCCTACCCATTTGGGGGGCAGGGTAGTTGTATTAAGGAGTTCTGAACCTCATTAACTAAACCATACAAATGAACTAAGAAGTATATGACTTTAAATATTTCATTTCTGTTTTTTGTTTAAATAGTTAAAATATCCAAGTCAAGTGGTTCTACTGGGAAAAGCCTAGAATATTCAAGCTTCTATCCCTTAACTAGGGAAACCCTGAGTAAGGTTTAGGAAAGAATAAAATTAAAATACCAGCCACCAAGAAATAAGATTACAGGAAAGACCATAAGGAAAGTCCATGTAACTGGACTAAGAAAGGCAAAGGGAACATAGAAGAAATTAAATATTTAACAATTAGGAGTGGCTGGAGGAAGACCTTACATTTAGTCAAAAACATGGCAGTTCTGACCTGACACTAAGAAAACTGAAAGAAAAAATTAACACTCTTCAGTAATAATATATTAGAGGCTTAAGGAAGAGATACCACAACTGAACCTGAACATAACAAAATATTATTCTGCTTTTTATTTTAAGACTACCAGTAAGCTAAAATTTCATTGTTTGGATTTGGAGCAATATGTCTAGCCATGCCTATATACAGCAAATAGTGCTCATGACTGTAAATGGATTTACTTCCCTATAAATTGACAGTTTAACAAATAATTACAATGCAAACACCCATAAAACCACTGCCCAGGTCTTAAGCATTTTCACCATGAGCATTCCGTAACAGGAACTATTTCCAAAAATGAGAAAGACTGTATGTTGCCAAAAAAAACTTCTGAAATGTTATTTTACCTAACTCAGTAAAGAAAGTTACTTTAAGTACTGATTTCAAATGGAGCCTGTTAAATACATCTCAAGTTCATTTCCCCACCAAGATAAAGACAGGAGTTTTATCTTTCACTTTACTTGTTTCTAGTGCAATAGATATTATACTTAGGTGCCACCAAGACAAAACCAATGACAACACAATTTTAAGATGCATCCCAATTTCCCTAAAACAAATCATTCATATTAAACAGATATATATAAGAGCTATTAACTTATAGATCCTAACTGTGCAGAGGAAGAGAAAACAAAAGAGAAAGAAGAAATTCTTGATAGTTAGAATGACAAAGCAGCTAATAATACTCTTCACAATATGGCCAGGTCCCTCAAAATGTGGCTGAAGGCACAAGGATGAATCTCACAAACACAATGTCAAGAAAGGTAAGACAAACATGTGTGTCTAACATATATTAATCTCAGCTCACTCCTGAAACACTAAGAGAATGTCTTTTAAAAGGGACAAGTACAAGAGAAAAGATCATAGCAAAAGTGATTTTTCAACAAAACTGAGACAGATATATGACTTGTAAACAAAAGAAAAAGATGAAATTCAAAAAGGGAAGAAAATAATAAATAAGTTCACTTCCAGGGTAGAAGAACCATGAAAACATTTAGAAATTCAAGGCACCAAGCAACGAGAGAGGCAGAGATGAAGAATGCAGCTGGAAATATGAGGAATGGTTGAAAATATGCATATAAACTAGTTAGACCCCTCGGTTTTTCAGAGCTATCTTTTAGCCAACTACAAAAAATGTGCAGTTTATAGCAATACAGGCTTACCTCAAGAAGCAAGGAAAAACTCAAATAAACAACTTAACCTTACAGCTAAGAGCTAGAAAAAGAAAAACAAACAAAGCCCAAACCCAGGAAAAGGAAGGAAAAATAAAGATTAGAGTAGAAATAAATGATATAGAAACTTAAAAAACAATAGAACAGAACAATGAAACCAAGAGTTGATACTTTGAAATGATCGACAAAATTGATAAATCTCTAGCCATCCAAAAAAAAGAGAGAGAACCCAAATAAATAAAATCATTAATGAAAGACGAGAAATAACAACCAACACCACAGCAATACAATTATAACAGAATATTATGGAAACCCATATGCCAACAAACTGGACAACTTAGAAGAAATGGATAAATTCCTGGAAACATATAACCTACTAAAACTGAAGCATGGAGAAACAGAAAATTTGGACAGACCGATTACCAGCAATGAAATTGAATCTGTAATCAAAAAAAACTCCCAAAAAAAACAAAAGCCCAGGACCAGACAGCTTCATAGGCAAATTCTACCAAAGATTTAAAGAAGAGTTAATACCTATTCTTCTCAAACTATCCCAAAAAAATAGAAGAGGAAGGAAAACTTCCAAATTCATTCTATGAGGCCAGTATCACCCTGATACCAAAACCAGATAAAGACACCACACAAAAAAAGAATACTACAGGTCAGTATCTCTCAAGAGCATAGATGCAAAAATCCTCAACAAAATATTAGCAAACCGAATCCAACAATATATTTAAAAATCATACATCATGATGAAGTAGGATTTATTCCTGGGATGCGAGGATGTAAGGGCAGTTCAATATTCACAAAACAATTAACATGATACATCACATCAATAAAAGAAAGGATAAAAATCAGATGATCAAGGGCGCGTGAGTGGCTCAGTCAGTTAAGCGTCTGCCTTCAGCTCAGGTCATAATCTCAGGGTCCTGGGATCAACCCTGCATTGGGCTCCCTGCTCAGCAGGGAGTCTGCTTCTCCCTCTCCCTCTGATGCTCCCCCCTGTTCATACTCTCTCTCTCTCACAAATAAATAAAATCTTTTTTAAAAATCATATGATCATTTCAACAGAAGCAGGAAAAGCATCTGACAAAGTACAAGATCCATTCATGATAAAAATCCTCTGCAAAGTAGGTCTAGAGGGAACATACCTCAACATGATAAAGGCCTTATATGAAAAACCCACAGCCAACATCATACTCAGTGGTGAAAATCAGTGCTTTTCCCCTAAGGTCAGGAACAAGACAAGGATGTCCTTTTCCACCGCTTTTATTCAAAATAGTACTGAGAAGTCCTAGCCACAGCAATCAGACAACATAAATAAAAGGCATCCAAATGGATAAAGAAGTAAAACTTTCACTATCTGCAGATGACATACTATACATAGAAAACCCTAAAGATTCCACCAAAAAACCACCAGAACTGATAAATGAACTCAGTAAAGTCACAGGATACAAAATCACTGTACAGAAATCTGTTGCATTCTTACACGCTAATAATGAAGCAGCAGAAAGTGAAATTAAGAAAACAATCCCATTTAAAATTGCACCAGAAACAATAAAATATCTAGGAATAAGCTTAACCAAAGAAGTAAAAACCTGTACTCTAGAAACTTTAAAAACACTGATGAAATCAATTCAAGATGACACAAAGAAATAGATATTCCATGCTCATGGGTTGGAAGAACAAATACTGTTAAAATGTCTATACCATCTAAAGCCATCTACAGATTTAGTACAATTCCTATCAAAATGCCAGCATTTTTCACAAAACTCTAACAAACAATCCTAAAATTTGCATGGAATTACAAAAGACCTCAACCAGCCAAAGGAATCTTGAAAAAGAAAAACAAAACCGGAGGTATCACAATTCCAGACTTCAAGTTATATTACAAAATGGTAGAATTAAAACAGTATGGTACTGGCATAAAAATAAACACAAAGATCAATGGAACAGAATAGAAAACCCAGAAATAAACCCACACTTACATGATCAATTAATCTTCGACAAAGGAGAAATGAATATCCAATGGAAAAAAGACAGTCTCTCCAACAAATGGAGTTGAGAAAACTGGACAGCTACATTGCAAAAGAATGAAACTAGACCACTTTCTTTCACCATATACAAAAATAAACTCAAAATGGATTAAAGACCTAAATGTGAGACCTGAAACAATAAAAATCCTTGAAGAGAGCACAGGTAGTAATTTCTCTGACACTGGCCATAACAACATTTTTCTAGATATGTCTCCCAAGGTCAGGGAAACAAAAGCAAAAATAAACTATTGGGACTACATCAAAATTAAAAGCTTCTGCATAGCAAAGAAAACAACCAACAAAACTAAAAGACAATCAAGAGAAGAGGTGAAGATAGTGGTAAATGACATATCTGATAAAGGGTTAGTACCCAAAATATATAAAGAACTGATACAACTCAACATAAAAAACCCCCAAATAATCCAGTATTTAAATAATGGACAGGAGACATGAACAGACATTTTTCCAAAGACAAACAGATGGCCAAAAGACACATGAAAAGATGCTTAAATCACTCATCATTAGGGAAATGCAAGTCAAAACTACAATGAGGCATCATCTCACACCTGTCAGAATGGCTAAAATCAACAACACAAGAAACAACAGGTGTTGGTGAGGATGTGGAGAAAGGGAAACCCTCTTGCACTGTTAGTGGGAATGCAAACTGGTGCAGCCACTCCGGAAAATAGTATGGAATTTCCTCAAAAAGTTAAAAATAGAACTACTCTTCAAGCCAGTAATTGCACTACTGGGTACTCACCCAAAGAATACAAAAACACTAATTCAAAGGGATACATGCACCCCTATTTACTGCAACATTATTTACATACAATAGCCAAGCTGAGGAAAAAGCCCAAGTGTCCATCCATAGATGGATGAAGAAGTGGGGATCTCTCTCTCTCTCTCTCTCTCTCTCTCACACACACACACACACACACACACACACACACTCCACTGTATTCCAGAATACATACAGTGGAATATTATTCAGCCATAAAAAGGAATGAAATCTTGCCATTTGCAACATGGATAAAACTAGAGAATTTATAATGCTAAGTGAAATCAGTCAGAGAAAGACAAATACCATATGATCTCACTCATATGTGGAATTTAAGAAAACAGATGAGCAAAGGAAAAAAATAAGAGAGAAAGAGAGAGACAAACCAAGAAACAGACTCAACTATAAAGAACAAACTGATGGTTACCTGAGGGAAGGTGGGTGGGGGGATAGGTGAAATAAGTGACGGAAATTACAGAAAAAAAAATTAAAATGTGCCCAGAGGCTGAAAAGTAGAAAAGTAGTTATATGTCACATAACAACATAAATGTTTCATAAAAAAATAAACTACATACTATCTTTCGGTAAACATTCCAAACAATGGTAAGGACTTAAAAGGTTATTGGTGAAATTATTCACATCTAAAATGTATTTTAGATAGCTATAAAAAAAAATCGAAACATCTATTATTTAGCTAACAACAAACTTTGCATTAAAGTTCTGACTTTGGGAAAATTACTTAAGTTTTTAATACTTTAAAAAACATCCAGACTTTATACTGACTACTACAAATCAACAAGAAAAACAAGCCAATTGTTAAAAGATGGATTTAAAATTTAAACAGACACCTCATAAAAGAAAGTATCAATACACACATAAAAAGATACTCAATCTCATTAGTCATCAGGAGAATGCAAATTAAAACCATAACAAAACAGCAAGACCTATGACGATGATAATCAAAAAGACTTATGATTCAAAATGACAAGAACACTGAAGAACTGGAACTTTCAAACATTTCTAGTGCAAGTGGAAAATAGTACAGCCAATATGAAGAACTTAGTCATTTCTTATAAAATTAAACATGTATTTACCCTATGACTAGCAATTTCACTCTTAAGTAGTTACAAAGAGAAATAAAAGCATAAATCCATAGAAACACTTGTAACAATACTCAGAGTAATCTTAATAGCCCCAAATCAAAAACAACACAGAAACTCATCAAGCAAAAAAATGGATAAATTATCATCAATACCATTCAATAATAAAAAAGAATAAAGTAATAATACAGGAGTCCCAAAGACACCAGCAACTAGACTTTTAAACTCCTGATAGAATATTCTTCAGTGGAGAATCTGACTAGTTCAAGAGAAGTATTTAAACTAAAGGTGTGCTAACAAACAACCCACCCTGATCACCCTAAATCGAAGTTCAGAGTCAGCAATCCCATCCAAATATTCATGGCTTTCTAAACAGCTCTTTTTTAGTCCTCCACTCTTAATTATAAGCATAGAGCTACCGACTGACAAGCATTTGAGGAAAGCCTCTATCATGGAAAATACAGACAAAAGCATGTGGGAAAAATAAGTTAACTAAAACAACATTTTGTAGGGGAAAAAAAGTTCTCTAAAATACTATCATTAATTTTTTCAGAGAACAGTGCATCAATAACACAAGAATAGAATGTTACAGTAAAAGGAACATCCAGGGGAAAAGAGGAGGAGGAAGAAGAAGGAGAAACAGACACAGACACACACACACACACCAAAGAGAATGAAAGGAAAGTAAGAGAGGAAGGAGACGAAAGAGGGAGGAAAAGAGATCCTCTGAAGATCAATGCTATAAAGTAGAAGCTCAAAGACCAAGCAGTCCAAATTCAGAGGTGAGTGGGCAGGTAGGGGGTTCCACGCAGGATATCACCCCCAAAAATGATGAAAGTGAGAAATACCTGCTATTTAAACCTAACTGTGTAGAAATTCAACAAAACCTGAAAGCATTACTATGACAAACTATTGTTAAAAATATTATGAAAGAATACACTTTATCATTTTATCAAAAGAAACTCAGAAGGAAGTAGGAAGATTTAAGAAGCAACTGTAAACAAAGACCATAAAAAAAATCATTTAAAAATGTACTACGGGGCGCCTGGGTGGCTCAGTCGGTTAAGCGACTGCCTTCGGCTCAGGTCATGATCCTGGAGTCCCTGGATCGAGTCCCGCATCGGGCTCTCTGCTCGGCAGGGAGCCTGCCTCTGCCTCTGACCCTCCCCCCTCTCATGTGCGCGCGCTCTCTCTCATTCTCTCTGTCTCAAATAAATAAAAATTAAAAAAAAAAAAATCTTTAAAAAAAAAAAAAATGTACTACAAGTTGGTAAAGTTTTAAAAAGAGTGAATAACTAATAACAAACAATAATGTAAACAACGGGAAGAGAACATGCAGAGTTAAAGCTTTCAAGGTTCCTTGATTGCTCAAAAAGAAGCTAGAATTCTGATTAACTTTCGACTTCATTAATCAATTATGCAGTAAAACCACAAAAGCGAATGTTAACTTCCAAGCCCACAGGGGAAAAAAGGAAAAATGAAAACAAAGAAAATTAATCAATTAAGCAGAAAAGTGGAAAACAGAAAAAAAAAAGAAAAGCAAGAAGCATGGAAGTAAAAAACATAAGATAGTACGAAAGTTCAACTCCATCAAATTCAAATGATGCCATTCCAATAAAATTTTTAAAGCACATAACAATACTATGCATCACTTATGGACAAATATACATGTGACATAGGTAGAAAAACAAACAGGATGCAGACCAAATTTAGTGGAGTGGCTACCGTCTGTGGAAACAGCAAGAATAGTTTGAGAGGCATTTCAACTACATCTACAATTTATTTTCTTTTTTTTAAATCTCTTAAGCAAATAAAATGCTAACATTTCTGAAGAAGACACAGTGGCTACTATAGTCATCTGTATTTTCTAAACAATTTCCTAATTTAAAAAAAAATTAACGGCACTTGGGTGGCTCAGTCGGTTAAACCTCTGCCTTCAGCTCAGGTCATGATCCTAGGGTCCTGGGATTAAGCCCCACCCATGGGGTTCCCTGCTCAGTGGGGAGCCTGCTTCTCCCTCCCCTTCTACCCCTCCCCCTCACTCGTGCTCTCTCGCTTGCGCTCTTTCTCAAATTAATAAATAAAATCTTTTTTTTTTAAGATTTTATTTATTTATTTGTCAGAGAAAGAGCGTAAGCACAAGCAGTGGCAGGCAGAGGGAGAAGCAGGCTCCCCGCTGAGTAGGGAGCCCGATGTGGGACTCCATTCCAGGACCCTGGGTGGGATCATGACCTAAGCCAAAGGCAGACATTTAACTGACTGAGCCACCCAGGCATCCCTAAATAAATAAAATCTTTAAAAAAAAAGAAGAAAATAAAATAAATTAATAGAGGAGCAATATTCAAATACATGATATCCTTATTAGTACAAAAATGCAAATTTCTGAAATGCCTTGTAATTATACAGATTTCAGAAAAGTTACCTCCATTTAGCATAGTTAGTTTACAAATTAATGATGCTACCTAAGTTCTCAATACATTAAAAAAGAAAAGAACATCAAAGTCAAGTTCAAATCCAAATACCTGAAATATCTTTAGAATTGTTTTTTTTTTTTTTTTTTTTAAAGATTTTATTTATTTATTTGACAGAGAAAGACACAGCGAGAGAGGGAACACAAACGGGGAGTGGGAGAGGGAGAAGCAGACTCCCTGCCGAGCAGGGAGCCCGATGCGGGACTCGATCCAGGGACTCCAGGATCATGACCTGAGCCGAAGGCAGTCGCTTAACCAACTGAGCCACCCAGGCGCCCCTAGAATTGTTCTTAAACTAAAAAACTCATATTGTTTCCGGTAAACTGACTTTTAATAGGTGTTTCTGGACTAATAGGTATAAGGAGTAAAACTTCTAGCTTCAGAGTGTAACTTCCAGGATGATGAATTGAAAGAAGATGACTTTACCCACCACAGTAACCAAAAAATGGGATTTTTTTTCTCCCCATATACATAAAACTGATTTTTTTCATCAAAGAACATCTAGGCATATTTGCTATTATGGGTATGTAATACCTGTTAAGTCCTTTGCTAAATCAGGATGGTTCATGAGACAATGACTAGCAAACTTCACACATTCCAGGCGGATTGGTACATGGATGTCATTAAACCTGATAAAATATAAAGGCACAGAATGATCTTTAAAATAAGAGAAACAATTATGTGTTTAATCTATACTCAATTTATACTTATTTCTCTAATTAAAAGAAAAAACAAGTTATGTAGAATAATTCAAAGCAAAGCTAGACTATTTCAACAAAGTTTTGAAGAGCTATATATTTATGAATGCTTTAGAATGTCTATATTAAACCAGGACAACCTCTGTGAGAACTATGTACTTTTAAGGAGCATGTATAAACAATACACATTTGGCTGAAGCACAAAAATTAGAATGACAAGATTTTTCCTATAAATATTATTCTTTTAAATATGTATGTTTTTATAAGCCTATGTGTGTGCACAGGTCATAGGTACATTATATAAATCCCAAACTGTGTCTGAAAAGAAATACTTTCTTCAAGTATTCTTTCTTAAATATAGGGCATTCACAAAAGTGTGGCAGATCTTGCACTAAACCCCGTATTATTTTACATGACTCGAAAACTGAGCCCAAATTAACTCCTATCCAGGTAACCATCACATTTCCACTAATACCAAAGCCAATTTTTACGTGAAGAAGTAAATATCTTAGTATATATCTCTAAAATATTAAAACTCTTTGAAAGTTATGTTATTTAATTATCTTTTAATTTTGTATTTCTCCTCCATCTTTCTTCTCCTTATAATTTATTTGGTGAAGCAACTGTTCTGTGTTTGTGTATGTGGTGTTTTTCCACAGTTTAGATTTTGCTAATCTGTATTATCCTGGTTTCAATTAATAGGCTCCCCTTCTCTCCTAAATCTTACAAATTGTTAGATCTAGATACTTAATCATATCCAGATTCACTGTTTTAGCAAGATTATTTCATAGATGGAATCCTGTTCCTCCATCATAAAGGCCATGATGCCTAGTTATCTCTAAACTATTGATGTTGAAAGCCTATATACATTAGTTCATCCTGTACTACAAGAGTGATTTTTTTATTTATTTGCAAGAGAAAATGAGAGACAGAGAGCATGCGAGGGGGGAGGGTCAGAGGGAGAAGCAGACTCCCTGCTGAGCAGGGAGCCTGATGTGGGACTCGATCCCGGGACTCCAGGATCATGACCTGAGCCGAAGGCAGTCGCTTAACCAACTGAGCCACCCAGGTGCCCCTACAGGAGTGATTTTTTAAAAAATCTTGTTAAGTAACAACAAAAACACCAAAGTAAAGTGAGAATTTTCCATTCAATATTTTCATATATCTTATTCTGTAATATCAAAAGGTTTCCAAATCTTCTATCACCCAATGCCATAACAAATTTAGTATTATAAAGGAGAAAAAAATCTTCAAAATGAGCGCCAAATTATTCATAAAAGCTTATTATAAGAAAAAAATGCCCTATGAAGTATACTCAAAAAAAAGTTATGACATTTAGCCTAGGGTCTCATATAAAGTTTCCAGAGTGTTCTGAATCTAAGTACTCCATCCCTATGTACTTTACCATTTTTCAACTAAACATGTACCATTTAACCGTTATAAATAAATATAATAAGACCTCTTTAAAAAATACTCTAGCTCCTTAAAAGTGATAATAATCTGTGAGTTTCAGTTTTAGGTCATTAATTTTAAAAGGAAAGGAAAAATTACAATGTAATGGAAATGTGACAAATTTTAACCTATAAAATAAAGTCTGGGTAATCCAAGTCCTGATTTAAAGATATAGTAAATGTCTATAAGTAAAAACTGTATTTTTGTTTTACCACATTAAGTGGACTTTAAATTGAGTGGTACACTTTAATTAAACATGTAAGCTATTCTGCTCTACTGCCCAAGAACTTTCCATTGTATTTAAAGGAAAAAAGTCTAGAAATCAAACTCAAAATGACAACGGGCTAAAATTTATTCATTTAACGCACCTTGTCAAATATTATTGAGCTACATAAGAGATAAGAAATCAGATTAAGAATTTAGCACTTAGCAAGCATTTATAAAATTTTATACTTCATTTAACAAATTAGAAAAATAAGGCCAAAAGAGAATAAATTTATTATAATCATTGACAGTTCTAGTATTAAGACAGAAAGAAAACTGGTTATAACATGCAAATATTTCAATATGAAAAGAAAAAGTACGTTTTTAAATCCTATTTGTGACTTAATTGCATTATTTGTTATGAGAAAAATTTAAGCAGAGGAAAAAAATTCTCCTTTATCTTCTGGGTCAAAGTAGGTTTCAGCCAGGGCACTTTAAGTGGTTTTAATATATTCAAGGTCAGGGATACCTTTAGAAACATAATGAAATGAACCCTTCTCATAGAAAAAAAGAAATATACAAACACACTCAAAATTTTGCAACCAATTTCAGGTTTGTGGACATTAAAAGCATATATGGAACCCAGGTTATCACTTCCTTTAAAAGAGAAATGTACAGGGCGCCTGGGTGGCTCAGTTGGTTAAGCAACTGCCTTCAGCTCAGGTCATGATCCTGGAGTCCCGGGATTGAGTCCCGCATCAGGCTCCCTGCTCAGCAGGGGGTCTGCTTCTCCCTCTGACCCTCCCCCCTCTCATGTGCTCTCTCTCTCTCTCAAATAAATAAATAAAATCTTTAAAATAAATAAATAAATAAAAGAGAAATGTACAAAGGAGGTTAGGAGGAAGACATACATATCATTTATTTATTCATTCTGTAGATACCCTTGTCCTTACAATATCTCACAATGATTTATTTTCAGTTGGAATGAATCACTGCTATGTAATAACACGTTTTAATTTCATGATTATAATACTTTTTGAGATAGCTTTTTAAGCATATCATCTTTCAAAAATTACTAAGAGCAAAATAAGATGAAAAGAGAAAGGGAAATTGTAAATATGGCCAATCAGTACTAACACTCAAAAATTTCAAAATATAAAACCTTCATTTTTATAATTTCAGGAAAATATTAAATATGGATGACATTTTTAAATAATATAAATAGACAGAAACATATACTACTTTTAAAAAAGACACCAAAATCATATACCTGCCCAAGTAACACTGCCATAGTGGTTTGTTTTGAGAAGCTAATTCTGAATCCTTCGCACCGAACATTTTTGCCAGTAGTTTAACAACTTGTAGGCGTTCCTCATTATCGTTGCTCTAAAACAAAACACAAACAGCTTTAAAACCATCAGGTAGATACTGTCATTATAATTTTCCCATGATTTTCCTCATTACCCAATTCCACAGAAAAACTTTCATGAACTCCAGATGGAAAAAAAAAGCTCAACATACTTTGCAAAAAATAAATAATCATCTTGTTAAAGCATACTTCCTACATGAAAATACATCCCAAAGTTCGATTAAATGTTAGAGGCCCCTCTTAAATTTGAGGCTTATTTCCATTCACAGTCAAATTCAAAAACTAACTACACATGAAAGCTATGCAAACCTCTGAAAAACTGTGGTTTTTAAAAACAGACACGAAGAGGCCAGGCCTACAGTAAACAGAAAATTCTGTATCATTGTACTGGTTAAGCTCTTTGTAGAAGTAAATATGTGAAGTCTCCCAAAAGGAGAATCAGTTCACCTACACATACCAGATTCATAGTGGAGTTCAACAATACGATGAAGCCTTGCACATGCAAAACCTAATTTCTGCTTTATTTACTCTATTATGGGTAGCATGGAGACAAGAACTCAATTTTAATTTTTATTGTTATGCTAATCACCATACATTACATCATTAGTTTTAGATGTAGTGTTCCATGATTCATTGTTTGTGTATAACACCCAGTGCTCTGTGCAGAACATGCCCCCCTTAATACCCATCACCAGGCTAACCCATCCTCCCACCCCCCTCCCCTCTAGAACCCTCAGTTTGTTTCTCAGAGTCCATCGTCTCTCATGGTTTGTCTCCCCCTCCGATTTCCCCCCCTTCATTTTTCCCCTCCTGCTATCTTCTTTTTTTTTTTTTCAACATATATTGTATTATTTGTTTCAGAGGTACAGATCTGTGATTCAACAGTCTTGCACAGTTCACAGCGCTCACCATAGCACATACCCTCCCCAGTGTCTATCACCCAGCCACCCCATCCCTCCCACCCCCCACCACTCCAGCAACCCTCAGCAAAAGAAACAGTCAACAAAACCAAATGACAACCGACAGAATGGAAGATATTTGCAAATGACATATCAGATAAAGGGCTAGTATCCAAAATCTATAAAGAACTTCTTAAACTCAACACCCAAAGAACAAATGATCCAATCAAGAAGTGGGCAGAAGACATGAACAGACATTTTCCAAAGAAGACATCCAAATGGCCAACAGACACATGAAAAAGTGCTCAACATCGCTCGGCATCAGGGAAATCCAAATCAAAATCTCAATGAGATACCACCTCACACCAGTCAGAATGGCTGAAATTAACAAGTCAGGAAAAGAACTCAATTTTATTATTGATTTTGGTACCTCCAACAAATGACACAATGGTTAAATGACTGAGCCAGCCACAATACTACACCTGAACATAAAATGTGACCATATCAAAAAACACCGATACTCAAAAGTGCTATGAAGACACTGTACACCTTTTTTTTTTTTAAACCAATGCATCAGCCTAGCATTAAGAGCTCCCATAATATGACCTAACTCATCTCTATTATTTCTCTCATTATTCCTCTAAATAAGTACTTTTCAACCCTGGGGGCACATCAGAATAACCTCTAAATGTGGTATGTGTGTGTACATATACACACACACACACACACACACACACACAGGAATATTACCCAGTCATCAAAAAGAATGAAACCTTGACAAATGCAATGATGTGAATGGAGCAGAGTGTATTATGCTAAGGGAAATAAGTCAGAGAAAGACAAATACCATATGGTTTCACTCATATCTGGAATTTAAGAAATAAAACAGATGAACATACGGAAAGGAGAAAAAAAAGAGAGAGAGGGAAGCAAACCATAAGAAACTCTTAATGACAGAACAAACTGAGGGTTAATGGAGGAAGATGGGTGGGGGATGGGCTAGATGGGGGATGGGTATTAAGGAGGGCACTTGTTATTATGAGCACTGGATACTGTATCTAAATGATGAATCACTAAATTCTACTCCTGAAACCAATATTACACTATATGTTACCTAGAATTTAAATAAAAATTTAGAGGAAAAAATAAAAATAATAGTAAAACAGGTTTGTTTCCCATGATTAAGAGTCTCTTGTGGTTTGTCTCCCTCTCTGGTTTCATCTGGTTTTATTTTTTCCTCTCTTCTATGATCCTGTTTTGTTTCTTAAATTCCACATATCAGTTAGTTCATATGATACTTTTTTTCTCTGACTTATTTCACTTAGCATAATACCCTCTTAGTTCTATCAACGTCATTGCAAATGGCAAGATTTCATTTTTTTGATGGCTGAGTACTATTCCACTGTGTAGATATACCACATCATCTTTATCCATTCATCTTTTGATGGACATCTGGGCTCTTTCCATAGTTTGGCTATTGTAGACACTGCTGCTATAAACATTGGGGTGCAGGTGCCCCTTCAGATCACTACATTTGTATCTTTGGGGTAAGTACCCAGTAGAGCAATTGCTGGGTTGTAGGGTAGCTCTATTTTCAACTTTTTGAGGAACCTCCATACTGCTTTCCAGAGTGGCTGCACCAGCTTACATTCCCATCAACAGCGTAGGAGGGGTCCCCTTTCTCCGCATCCTCGCCAACATCTGTTGTTTCCGGACTTGTTAATTTTAGCCATTCTGACTGGTGTGAGATGGTATCTCATCGTGGTTTTGATTTGTATTTCCCTGATGCCAAGTAATGTTGAGCATTTTTTCATGCGTCTGTTGGCCATGTGGATGTGTTCTTCGGAGAAATGTCTTTTGCCCATTTCTTAGATTATTTGTTCTTTGGGTGCTGAGTTTGGTAAGTTCTTTATAGATTTTGGGTACTAGCCTTTATCTGATATGTCATTTGCCAATATCTTCTCCCAAAAGAGGAAAAAATAAAACAAGATGAAACCAGAGAGGGAGACAAACTATAAAAGACTCTTAATCATAGGAAACAAACTGCGGGTTGCTGGAGGGGAGGGAGCTGGAGGGATGGGGTAACAGGGTGATGGACATTAAGGAAAGCATGTGATGTAATGAGCACTGGTATTATAGAAGACTGATGAATCACTGACCTCTACCTCTGAAACCAATAATACATTATATGTTAATTAATTGAATTTAAATTTTAAAAAAATCTGTCCATGACTATTCATAATAGCACTATTCATAATACATAGCAGCATTATTTATAATAGCAAAGGGTGGAAACAACATAAATGTCCATCAACTGATAAAATATGGTATATCCATACAATGAAATATGATTTAGCAATAAAAAAGAATGAATTACTGACACAAACTGCAACATGGAAGAACCATGAAAACTTTATGCTAAGTTAAAGATTGCAGTCACAAAAGACTACATATGCTATGGTCCCATTTATAAAAATGTCTAGAATAGGTAATCTATAGGGAAAGAAAGCAAATTAGTGATTGTCTTGAGCTGGGGTTCCTGGGGGAATGGAAGGTCACCACTAAAGGGTATAAGATTTCTTTTGGGGGATGCTAAAAATGTTCTAAAATTAATTGTCATGACAGTTGCATGACTCTGTAAATATGTTAAAAAAATAATGAATTGTATACTTTAAATGGGTGATTTTTATGGTATGTGAATATTTGAATAAAGCTATTACAAAAAGAAAAGTAAACAATCTAGAAAATGACCTCTAAAGTTCTAAAAAAAACCAAAACCCAAAACAAAACAAAACAAAACACAAACACAAAAACTGAACTGGATTCTACTGCCAAAAATTCTGATCAAAACAACTCCTCTGGTTTAATGCCCGGACATCTGTTTGTTTACTAAGGCTCCACAGGTGAAGATTCTAATGTGCAGCCAGGGATGATTTAAACTTACTTTATGCCACTATAAAATTGTGTTCCACAAAGAATTCCACAAATTCACCCAGCAACTTCCTAACTATATGTTTCTATATGTTTCCTTTGTCATGTTGTTCTTTATCTTTTAGCACACTTACAATATCTGGCTTATTAAATCTGAATTTTTTTCCTCTTCTATGCTAGATGTTAAACTTGCTAAAAACAGGGATGATAATTCCTTACTTTTATATTTCTTACAGTATTCACTATTTTTATTAAAGAAAATCAGACCGGGGCGCCTGGGTGACTCAGTCGGTTAAGCGTCTGCCTTCGGCTCAGGTCATCTCAGGATCCTGGAATGGAGCCCCAGGCATCAGGCTCCTTGCTCAGTGGGGAGCCTGCTTCTCCCTCTCCCTCTGCCTGCCGCTCTGCCTACTTGTGCTCTCTACCTCTCTGTCAAATAAATAAATAAAATCTTTAAAAAACAAACAAAAAAAAAATCAGACCAATAAAAAAATTAAAAGTATGACTGCCTTCTGCCTCATCAAAATTGCTAACTACATGGGAAAATATGGGTCAGGCAGGCCAGTGAATCAAGTGGTTCACTTGAGAAATACACCCCAGAATAGAACGAGAATAATCACTTGCTAGTTTTGTGGGGTATTCACACTACAAATATGGATTGTTTATTTTCTTGTTTTGAAAGAGACAAATAAAATTTTTACAAACAAGAAATATAAAATGGAAATCATTTAAGAATTTCTCTGGGTGTTACATCAGGTTTCATCTAAGATGATTAATTATAACCAGCTTTTTTAAATCTTCCTGTAATAATCTGAAAGAGCAAAGAGTATTCCCCAAATCTACAAATAAACTCAATTTTATGGCATAATTTAATCTCAAGGCAATAGGAACATGCCACCAAAAGATTCCAGAGAACTATGTGAAAAGTAACAGAGCTTTCAACATAGGCATAAGATAATATGCACATAGGGAAAATATTTCACATATGGGTAACAGACCCTAAACCATTTTCATGGCCTAATCAAGGGGTCTTGGGAACCACTATAAACTGTGCCTTGAAAAGAAGCTAGACCTCAAAAGTTAGTCAAAATCTAGAATTTATCTGGAAATTATCTGAAGGAAAATACCATCATTAAAAAGTGGCTACTATCTGCTAGGCACCATGCCAGGCATTGCAGATAAACAAAGAGGTAAGGTACAAACATGTAAATAAGTAACAGTAATACACTACTTCATCTGCAGCATTCAGCTAAAACTACCATAAGAATTAGAAAGCAACAAATAATGCTCTTTGCTAATCTGGTTGACAGAATCATAATATTTTTAAAATAGTTACCTTTAGTTTAAATTCAAGTTGGGGTAAAACTGAGAGCAGCAAATGACTATCAATATTATAGAGCTCCAAAATTAAGTCAAAGACATGCTCTGACAAATCGCTGATAGATGTTTTCCCAAGCATCAGAACCTGATTAAAAAACTTTTGAGAAAGAAGATTTATCATTAATAGAAATGCCATAGATAAAATGAATTTTCTAAAATCTTAATTATCATTAAATTAAATTCATCATTATTCTACACAAAGTCAAACTAAGGTTATCAAAACATTTTTAACAGTAAGTGGAAAACAACTACAGGCTAGTTTACCTTGCGCATGAAATTCACCTCATATACAATAAAAGATAATTTGTACTAACTTATCAATTAGCTTATCAATCAACACTCTATCAAATGCACTTTTTTTCCCATTATGGTACTTACTATATTTTATCCTGTAATATGGTTATATTTGTGTACATGTCTTAATTTCCCTACTATATAAATTTCTTAAAGTCAAGGGATCACATCTTGTTCACCTTTTATGGGAGACAACAGCATCAAAGACAAAATCTTGCACCTTCATAGAAGGGGCTGATTCCATTTTTAAAATATGTAATTTTACATTTATAATGTAAAACAACCTCTTTCTAATCCTTGTCTTCTTTTATATTCTGATAAACAGTGTGTACATATGTACAAAGTTTACAGCACTAATTAAAATCCAATTAAAAGCATACACACACGCACACACACAGAAAATCCAAATTTGAACAATTCTGTTTCTATAAGAAACCAGCTATAACTAGTTTCCACATTCAGATCATCTACCATATTACTACTAAAACTGGTAAAGATACATGGCATAATGGTCCACTGCTTTCTATGTAAAGTCTTCCAAATTCATAAAAAGTTAACCCAGAGCATATGCCACATATTCTCAACAATATCTTCTGTCTCCTTGAAGAAGTAGTTTAAGAATTTTTTACACCACATAAGCCCTGATCTCTCCTCTCAGTAACAGTTAATACAACCTGGCTTACTATATGGAAAGTACAAAGTCAAATATTTCACATTTCTATGTCTTTTCTGCTTGCTTTAACTCTTAGATTATTCTTAAATGAAGTTTCTTATGTCTATGAACCTGTACAAACTACCTAGCCATGAAGGGGCGAAAAGACCAAATTCTATTCTACTATTCTTTCTTCACCTGTTTGTTGTCCTTGTTTATCAATGTCGTAGGAAAAGAATTTAATGACATCAAAGGCTAAATTCTCATTCAGACTCAAAATAAAATGACTTTGTTTCCATTCATAAATTTTCTGTTTAAAAATAGTAAATCTAACCTTTCCTTAACAAGACCACAATAATCCTTTCCAATCTCGTCACCTTGTCACATGATGTAATTGTCCTCTTTATCAGTCTGGGGAAACCACATTTGAAAATTAAAAAAAAAAAAAATGCTGTAGTCTATTAAGTGTACCATAGCATCATGTCTTTAAAAAAAACCATATACATACAGTAATTAAAAAATACTTTATTGCTGGGGCGCCTATGTGGCTCAGTCGGTTCAGTGTCCCGACTCCTGATTTTGTCTCAGGTCATGAGATCGAGGCCCACGTTGTGGAGCCTGCTTAAGATTCTCTCTCTGCCCCTCCCCACCTGCTTGCTCACACGCGTGCACACTCTCTCTCAAAAAAAAAAAGTTCCGATGAAAAATAAAATTACCAAGACGTGATTCATTCAGAAAATTTTTTGATATGTCACTAAATACTTTTTGTTCCTGATAATTTGATCTTTTCAAAAAATACATATACTTTTTAGTTTCTTGTCAAGTGAGAACAAATTTTATTTTCAATACTCTATAATAACCTAAGATAATAATCTAAGATAATCACCACAGCGATTTAAGTCCTAAATACGTAAGAATCACTATAAAGAACAAACTTGCATGTGTCTATATCATATCCCTGATAGTGAAAAAAAATAAGTAAAAAAGAGATAGAAATGTGGTTATTATTACCTCAGTATCCTACCTATACTTTTGCTTGCTAATTCTCTACTAGAAAGACAAATGAATAATGGCTACTATATGTACAAATTCAAAAAAGCTGAAAATATTTTTTAAGCTGAGAATATTTTAATATTGTAATTCATTTTATACTATAAGACAATTAAGTTCACTAGATCAAAATTTGAGGTAGGAAAAAAAAAGATGTATAAGGGAACAAAAGAGGGAAAAAAAGCAACTCTTAATGACTTCTTAGCTAACCATCAAATAAAGCAAGGAACAAGAAAACAAGAGATCAAACAATGGACAAAGTACTGGGAATATACAATTGGAAGTGTGCTCGGACCATTCTAATCTTTTGCCTCTCACCCCTCAACTTCCGATAACGATAAAGAGGCAGTTCTACTTCTGCAGGCAAGAACTAAGAACAGGCAATTAACATAAGCTTTAGTGACAGGGAAATGTAAACACCTGAGATGTCTAAAAATATTTCTCTGGTCCTTTTTCTTTTAGCTCTAATTATAAGTATTTTCAAACAAACATATGTTGAGAGAACAGTGTAATGAAATCTAGCTAATCACCTAGCTCCAACAAATACCATTATTCTATCTTGGACCTTTTTTTCTTTTATTATCCAAATATTTCTTTCCCCAGTTCTAGAAAACATACTGACATGGTATAGTGTTATTTCTTTTTTGTTTTGTTTTTTTTGTTCCCCCCCACCCCCCCACCCCCAGAAAAAACGGCATCAAAAAAATTTAAGTATTCCCCTAAAAAACATCTGGCTTGGCAATACCAATTTAAGTAAGTGACCACCAGGAGGAGCTCAACTAGTGTATCTAATGGGCCATGGAGATAGTCATTCAGATGCACTTGAAGCAAAGGAAAAGGGAAGGCTAATTAATCACACACAGAATGCTTATGTCTGGGGTCTACACACTTCAAAAGCCATTAGGTCAATAATGAAAAAAACTCAACCCACTCAATCCAACCAATTTATATTCTGGCCAATAACCAAGATTCACAAAACTTGCAGAAATCGTTATTTAGAATTCCCTGACAATTTGGAGCCATTAAAATAGATTACACAATTTGTCCAGCTTCTGAAAGTTCACCCTCCAAAACAATTTCCTTACAAATCAAATACATTTTTCCAAATCATCATGTGTTTAGAATTATTTAAGGTCATAAGCCAGAAACAAAAACTGGCATTTACCAAGATACTGTTCTATAAAGTTTGTTACTTTTTCAAAGCACATCTTTTCATGATGTATTTTATATATTGACTCTATTTTTTATATACTACAGGAAACATGCTCCGTCAATAAACTTCAGGAAAATTAAATACGTGATTATACATGACTTTGTTTCTCACTTTTTTTCAAGAGACAGATTAACATCCTTTACATATTTGAAGGTGGGTGAAAGTGTAAAGTTAAGTAGCTACATAATTCCAGAGGCCAACATTAACACTGTGTTCTAGATTTGTTCCAGGAGGCACCATTCATGTGAATACATTCCATGTATTCATGAGTTTCTGATATACTTTTTGTTTCTGATAATTTCATCTTTTCAAAAAATACATATACTTTTTAGTTTCTTGTCAAGTGAGAACAAATTTTATTTTCAATACTCTATAATAACCTAAGATAATAATCTAAAATAATCACCACAGTGATTTAAGTCCTAAATACGTAAGAATCACTATAAAGAACAAACTTGCATGTGTCTATATCATATCCCTGATAGTGCAACTCAACAGAACTATGGGTGGAGAGAAAATAAAACTAAAATAAGCTTTTATCAGTGTACCTATCAGCTAAAATACATTTCTTCTGAAAATAGCTAAAAGATGGTGAATGGTAAATAAGCAAATTTGGAATGATATTGAAAGGGCTCACATCATCGCAATTCTTCCCCTTTTTTAGAAAAGGTTGATGTACATGAAATCTACCCCGGGACAGCAAGATAGACAACTGTCACCAAATTGCTACCATTCATACTTGCCTTCAACTTTAGAGTCGTGATATTAATTCATATCTACTTCTTGTATAAATCAATTTAATCTCCAAAAAGCTGTAACTTCCCTGAATAATGAGAAGTTCCATATGTTTTATCTAATTACATTTAGCTTATTTGTTAACACTAGAAACAAGCAGTGTATCTTGCTAACCAAAATAAGACCTATTTTAGTTCTTAGGCAGTTTGAAAGAAGCAAATGAATGAACAAACAAGATGAGAGTTAACCTTCCATATAATAATAAATAAGAATAATTTTAAATAAGGAGAAAGAAAATATATTATTTAATGATTAAAACAATACAAAATTTAAAAGTATGTACTACCTGCCAAAATTTTGCTTCTAGCTATCTTTAAAATGTTGGCTAATCCTTCTAACAACCAATTACGAAAAAGACTTACATTGGTAATATATGGTTCAATAGCTTGAGCTGTCCTCTTCAGTAAAGCCTTTGCCAAATCATATGCTTGCTTGTTTAAATTCTGAAAAACATAAACAGTATCTATATTACGTATCTCTAACTATGAAAAACAAAATATTACCTGTATTCCAAAAGCTACTCCTGAGTATATGAATGAGAAAACTGAACTCAATTAGAACAAAGGAGAAGGCAAAGCCACTTTTCTTCTTTTAAGACTAACTGGTCTACCTACATCATAAGATCCCTTCCAGGAAAGGATAATTACATTTTCTTCCTATCTCATTCACAGCATAAGGTAAACCATAGAAAAGACCAATAAATGTTTATTAGACAGAAGAGGAGACAGTCACTCTAAACCTAGTCCCGAAGTCAAATCAGTTCAGCTTAGTACAAATACAGGCTGTTTTACCCCAGGTCCAGAAGAACCAAAACATCCTAAGAGAATGAACTGGGTTCTAATGTGAACAAGAATGGAGGGCCCACAGGTGGGGAAAAACAAGAGTTTGGGGTAGGTATGGGACAGATTTACTCAAGCACATCTCAGAGCATAGATAAGGTCAACGATACAGTAAGAAACAACAAACAGTAAAATATGAAAAGAAAAAAGATATAAGAAAAAATATCTTAAGAAAATGTTTCTAAGAGATTCTGATGATGACAAAAACAATCAAGACCAAAGATCTAAAAGAGAATTGCTATTCCAATTTAAAAACATTACAGAAAACAGGTACACTGTAGATATCCTGGAACTCACATTTAGCATATTTTTAGATTTACCTGCATTGATGCTTCTATTGAATTATTTCATTTGTAATTGCTGTTTAGTATTTTACCATATAATATACTACAGCTTATTTTCTCATTCTCCTATTCACAGACATTAAACTGTATGTCTTATACATGCTTCTTTGGGCATACAAGAAATAATTTTCTGTAAATTCCACCTCTACCATTTTTCATATGGGCTTTTTTGTCCTTATTTATTTATTCTATAAATTTTACACACTAAAACTTTGTCAATTTTATGTATAACATATCTTAGTCTGTACTTGTCTTTTCAGAAGTTTATGGTATTTTAGAGATAGAGAAGTTTCTAGACTTAATGTAATCAAATATATCAATATTTTCCTATTTGGCTTGTGCTCGCTGTATCTTTCTTAAGAAATTCTCCTCCACAATGAGATTTAGATGTTGCTTTATATTTTCAAATAAAAATTTAAAGATTTGTTTTTCAGATTTAGAACTTTATTCTACCTGTAATTTATTTTTATGTATGGTGTAAAATAACATTATTTCCCATATGGATATTTGATTGTCCTAAAACAAGTCATTAAATAGTCTGTTATTCCCTGCAGTGACCTATAATATCCACACTCTCAAGTTTCTATATAACTATGGAGCCACTTGTAAATTCTCCATTACTTCTATATGTCCCTTTGTCTATTACTGCCTGATTATAGTCAAAGGGATATATGGAAACAGTCCCCACTTTCTATTCCTCTCCAAAAATGGTTAGCTATTATTGGCCATTTGCTCTTCAATGTGAATTTTAAAATCAGTTTGTCAAATCACCCACACATGTTCAGACTTTCTCTTTTGATTGGATTATCTATTCCTATGCAGAAATCTGGCATCATTATGATACTGAGTTTCCCATCCCATAAATATAACAAATCACGCAGCATATTTAAGTCTTTACACTTTTTTTGTCAAATATATGATTTAACATAAAGTTGCACATTTTTGTGAAATTTCTAAGCAGCTCAAGTCTTTGTTAAAGCTACAAATTTATTAAATTATACCAACAGCTTTTCATATATTGAACTTATATCTAGCAACCTTGCAAAATTTGCTTATTTGTTCTAGTGACTTATCTGTATACGGTTTTGTGTTTTCTGCAGTCATATTAACTGCAAATAATTTCAGTTTATTTCTTCTTTCTGATCCTTTTATCTTTTATCTCATTTTATTCCACTAACTTAAGACCTTTAATGCTAATTAGAATGGCAATGTTGCCTTTTCCCTGAGTAGAAGTGTTACTAAACTTAAAAAAAAAAAAGCTTCAGCATTTCACCATTAAGTACAGTATCATACATATCGTTATCATTTTATGGAAGTTCCTTTCTATTTCAAATCTGCTAAGAGGTTTTATCATAAATTATACTGAATTTTATCACATGGTCTTTTTCTACATCTATTGATATTTTTTCTTTGATCTGTTAAGTTACATAAATATCTTTGTCTATGGTAAACATTTTCTAATGTTAACCCATCCTTATAGTCCTAAAATAAAGCCAATTTGCTCATTATATTAGTTTATACCATTCCAAATGTTATTATTTCATGTTGAATTTATGTGATTATAACTTTAGATTAAATTAGCCTATGATTCTTCTTACTTGCTTAGTTTTGTCTAGTTTCCCTATGAAGATTATATTCCACTTATAAGGTGAACTGTGGAGCATTTCTTCCTTTTCTATAATTTGGAAAAGTTTGATTGATATAAAGATTGTAATGCTACTCAAATGATTAGTAGGTAATCTCCTGACTCAGTTTAAGTTCTTTTGTGGTAGGTTTGTGTTCTGCTGCTGTTGCTTCCATTTAGGTTGCTATTGTTGTTTGGGAGGAAGGGATTTTGTTCATTTTATGAATATGGTTTTTAAAACCAATTAGATTTCTTTTGCTGGTTAAACGTTATTCAAGATTTTTCTCTCAAGACAAATTTGGCAAGTTATATTTTCTAGGAATTTATTTTACCTAATTCCAAATATGTTACCATAAAATATTCTTCATGGGATTATCTTTTTATTTTTTTAATGGCTGCTGTTCCCATTTCATTCTAAAACTGTATATTGATACTGAGATCTCCTTTTTCCTGATTCAATTTGCCAAGGATTTGCTTATTTAATACATTTTTCAAATGGCCAGCTTTGAGGTTTTGTGAAATGTCACTATATTTTCTTTTTTTTAATTTTATTTTTTTGAGAGAGAGAGACAGAGAGAGAGAGAGAGCATGAGCCAGGGGAGGGACAAAGAAGCAGACTCCCTGCTGAGCAGGGAGCCCAATGCGGGACTCAATCCCAGGACTCCAAGATCATGACCTGAGCTGAAGGCACATGCTTAACCAACTGAGCCACCCAAGTACCCGTCACTATATTTTCTATTTCATTGATTTCTGTATTTCCGTCTTTTCTTCCTTACATACTCTGTATATTCTGATATTTTTATAACTTCTTGGACACTTAGCTAATAAAATTAGACTTAAAACACATTTTAAGTTGTATCCCACAAGTTTTAATATGTATCATTTTAATTCTCATTTCTAAATATTTTATAATCGCCATTATGACTTATTATTTTGATAAATTATGGTTGCTATAAACTTGTTTTTGTTTCAAATCCTCAATATGCTTTTTATAAACTACTGATCTACTTAATTTATAATCACTGGGAGAAGTGATTTAAAATGGCCCACCAAGTTGTGAGTGTTTTTTTTTCTCCTTATAATTCTTTCAATTTATAGTTTATATATTTCCAGCCTATGTACATTCAAGTTTGAATACTTTCCTGAAAACTAAGCCATTTGTCCTTCTACAAATTCCTTCTTTACCCAGTAAAGACGATTACATCTAATATCAATACAAGCCGCTTCAGTTTTCTTTCGGTTAAGTACATTCCTGGCAAGTCTTTTTTTCCATCCTTTTAAAAGCTCTCAACCTTTTTGTAACAGTATTTTGTTCTTATCTCTTATTGAACAGCTGGATTATTTTCAATCAAATCTGACAATCTGTTTTAAGTAGTAAATTTAGACCATTTATATTTATTGTAATTCCTTTTACTATAATCCTGAAAATTTTAATATGAATACTTCATTTCAAGTTAGAAGTTAATCAATAGCTCTATACTCCTGATCACCACCAAGATTAGATCACTCATTAACTCCATTAAGCCAGTCAATCTTATACATTATTTGCATCCAGTAGTTCAGGACCATTTTGTTAATCTCTTTAATTAATCATTATAATTATTACTGCTACTATTTTTTTATAGATCAGTTCTTATTTTTTTTGTTCACCATTATTTCTTCTTCCTTGCTTCTATTAATTCAAGTTCCATCATTCTACAGTACTCACATAGTAGTTCTTTCATGAAGAATCTTGACAAGTGAATAATGTCTTAATTTCACTCAAACTGGATAGGCAACCACATACATATACACACAAATGCACAATTATTTTTTCTTAGCATTTTGGAAATATAGTTCCATTATCTTCTGGCATCTATCCTTGCCACTGAGAAGTGAGCAATCAGTTTAATCATTATTCCTTGGTGAGAGCTATGCCTTTTCCTTCTGGGTGCTTTACAGATTATCTCTGGTTTGGTGTTCTACAACTTCTCCAGGATGTTCCTGGACTGGGATTTATTTTTATTTATTCCTCTCACGACACTTATGCTACTTAAACCATAAATCCATGCTTTTCAACAGTTCTGGAATATATTAAGCAAATTCCTATTTAAACATTTCTTCTCCACTTTCTACTTTGTGTTCTGAAATCACTACTAAATATACTGGTCCTTTTCATTCTATATTTCATGTCTCAGTATCTTTTATGTTTACTTTATCTCACTTTATCTGTGTAATTTCCTCTGATCTGTGTCCCAGTTCTCTAAATATCTTTTATAATCCTATAGGGATCTTAATTTCAATGACCATTTCTCATTTTTACCTTTTTCCTAAACTTCTCCTTTCATATATCTAGCTATCATGTTTTTAACTCTTATTTTTATGTCTTTGATCCCTTTAAGCACATGTTATCTTAAATTCTTTTAAGAGTATTTATTATTTTTATCTAATGTATTATCTGAATTTTTAAGTCTATTTGCAGTATCTGATTTTCAGCACTGATGGACTATTTTAAGAGTCTGGAAATATTAAATTATGAGGTCATTTCCATTGAAGCACTACTTGTGTGAATGTCATATACCTATAAAACTTAGATTATACCTGGCCAAAAAGGTCTTCAGTTTGCACAGATCTTTATACTGGTGTCTGGTCCCTCTCTTTAACCTCTCTCTTTTCTCTCTTTCACAGAAGAACCATTATTTCCAGCTGTTTACTGGAGAGTTAATCATTTTCAAGGAACATGACACACAAACATACATCTTGATTAACATCACCCAGGGAAGAAACACTGTCATCAACATATCCTTTGTCTACAAATTAGTAAAGACTTCCCTTTTAATTTCACCCCTCCTCTCCACCTACACTACTGCTGTCTTTCACTTAAGGCTCTAACTGGTTTTAGCATCTCCTGATATATAAAGTTATGTGATAGCTTCTAAGTAGCTATCACTCCTGAAACATATCCTATACAAAACTGAGTTATTACAGATATTTTATCATATAAACTACATCTTTTAATTTAATTAGTAACTATAAGTGTACCATGTTTCATTAAACATTAAACATGACTAATATTAAATATTAATTAAAACAGATCCTCCAAAACTAAGGCTGAAGCAGGAAAAATTATACTCAGAACATAAGCACAAACTCTTGACCTTAATATTAACGGGCCTTAGACATATTTCAGTATATATTGCTACTTACCTTATGGGCAGGTACCAGATTTACCAAAACTGTATCCAAAAGCTCCTGAGATACTGTATCGCCTTCACAAATAATAGAACTCATGAGGTCTACCATGTGCATGTGAACTTTCTGATTGTGACCATTGCTGAAATTCAAAATAGATATTTTATTTAAAGTGTACAGGATTTACTCATAACATGGTGTTGACAAACACTACTTTATAAAACATGATATTAAAATATGAATTAAATCAAATTCCATATATTCATTTAAAGTTTCCCTCTCTCCCAAATCTTACGGCGGTATCAAAAATATATTTTTAAACTACATTTCCTGGATTACTTTTCCCTAATTTTAACCAGTCTCACAATCAGAAGTAATTAAATCAAATGTCATCTTTAGTTTTACCTCAAGTTCAGAAAATCAAATTGCTTTGAAGTTAATTCTAATAGATATTAAAGAATACACCAAAAAACTCAACTATTTACATGAATCAGAGTAATATTTAAATAAAAGATAAAAGTATAATCCAAAAAATATTTTTATATTGGCTATAGATTGCCTTATGCCACTCTTGTATATACCTTACAATACAAAACTGATTTAGTTCTATTCATTTTTAAAACATCTCTAAAAAATAATGTTAATGAGTTCTTAAGTTACAACTCTTAGCCTTCCAAATATTCATCATAACAAACATAGTTTATACATATTCAACTATAAGTTCTAAATTCTTTGTATTAAAAAAAAAGTTACATGCCTAATAAAATAAACTTACTTTATAACTGAAAATAATGTTCTGTATAATTGGGTAAAAATTTCATTGCTATCTTCCAACTCAAAGCATATGTTATATGACTTGACCCAAGCAATGTTCTAAAAATAAGAAGCAAAAAAAAAGAAAGGTAAATACTTTAATTAGTAAAAACATACAAGCACAAAAACCAATTTAAAATGTCACCATAAGATATATTGCTTACCTCAAGTAAGTAAAAATACCTATTGAATTGTGGGCTTTTTGTATCCTCTAGCCCCTTCAACTGCCTTGTTATAAACATAAATATATCCTTCAAAAAAGAGAGACAAAGTATTATTTAGATTATGAATGCTAAATGAAAATATTCACTAACTTCCTAAAGCTAATTCAGCACTCATGTGTATCCACCATGATAAATTTAAAAACCAGGGGGAAAACTGTATTTGGCTGGAACTTCTTAAAAGAACCTTATCATATAAAACCTTCTCATATGAAAACACTAAATATCTTATTACCCTTCACAGGAAAATAGTAAATAGTTTACCATGATCTTAGAGAATGAAACACTTCATCTTAAAGCAAGTTAAAAAACTAGAACTGGAAACTAGTAAACCAAAATTTATCCCATTATCAGTATAACAAAGGTTTTATCTATGATGTTACTAGTATTAGTATTACATACTAATAACAAAGGTTATACGAATAATGTAACTGAGAGCTAATTAGGTTTGCTGGAATAGCACTACATAGGTAATTATACAGCAAAAACACAGTATAGGAAACTTAGAATTCCAAAATAAATCACCAAGTGAAAAGACAATAGATCACAGAAACTTAGAAATTTTAAAAAGACCTGCAGAAGTTAACTTTCAAGCTTCCTACCTAATCATTAAAGTTACTTGTTTTTTCCCACCATTTCTCAATCTATTTCCATCTGTTGGCTTTTGATTTTTTACTACATCTTCCTTTTGTACCTGGATAGAGATAGGTTCAATGTCCCTTAAGGCAATTTTTATGGAGAGGATGTTCTTAAAATTTTGGAAAAGGGTAATTATAAAAGCTAATTCTGCAAAGGAATCATGCTAATCAATAAATATAAATAATATTAAATAAATAAAAAGAAAAAAGAAAAAATGTTTTCCTTATAAGTAAAATGATAAACAAGAATATTTTTAAAAGAGAAAAATATGCAGTTAATGAGTAGCTTTTCAAAAAAATACTATGGAAATTATATCCTTCAAAAATGGTCACTTTGACAGTAGTACTGTACAAAATACATCTTTTGTGAATAAATCCTCCTAGTGTGACTAAAAGAAAACCAAGTGCCACAATGACTACCTAGAGACAGACAACAGTCACTCATTTATAACCTTTCCAACAATCACTGACCTACCCATGAAGCCAAGTGTATAAAAAGTTTTCTGATAATGATAAATTTACAGTGGAAATATGAGCAAAGTGTCACAGTTTTCTATTACTGCCACTGCAAAGAAAAATACAAATTTTATGCTAATCAATAGTGAAAAAGAAAAGACGCATTTAAAGAAGACCAAAAATTCTGACCAGAATAAGTAAGATACTGTAAACTTTTCAGCTATGGAATAATCCCAAAATACTCTAATTTAATCACAGCTCAATATTCTTCTTATAAACTGTCCTGTTATAAATAGAACAGATGTGTAGGTATTCTTTTAGGAGGGCTTTTTATTACCCCAAAGTCCTGAGATAAGTCAATGATTATGCAAACTGAGAAACACACGAGAGGCAGAAGAAACCTGTAGCAGCACTCTTAAATAATTAGACCTTCCTCTTCATGAGAATGACAACAAGACATTAGTAAGGAAGAGCCCCACAGGCCATTTCCAAATTAGAGGTTTATAATTAGAAAGCAAAATATATACCTGGGTACACAACTCCACAGCTCAGTTCATGTTATCTACTTAAACCTCTGACCATTCTTAAGTTCTACATTTCAATTCTACCTTCAAGTGACAAATACTGTCACTATCCTGAGATTCTCTACCAATTAAAATATTAAACAATCATGCCCAAACCAGTTTGGGCATTCCACGCTAGAATTTTGGCAGACTTGATCAAATGAGCAGGTTCCTCACTCCCAATTATCAGGAATCATATCAGGACTCTTTTTCACCACTGTAAACCCAGTTCCTAACACATAGTTAACATCAATACCTGTTAAATGAAATAAACCTGAATTGCTATCATTTTCTCCACACTGGTATTAATAATCTTCCTATAGACTCATTCTCTAACCCACAATTTCCACAATTATCTCTTTTTTTTAAAAGATTTTATTTGAGAGAAAGTGAGAGAGAGAGAGAGAGCACAAGCGAGGGGGAGGGGCAGAGAGAGAGGGAGAGGGAGAAGCTGATTCCCCGCTGAGCAAGGAGCTGGACACTGGGCTAGATCCCAGGACCCAGGGATCATGACCTGAGCTGAAGGCAGACACTTAGCTGACTTGAGCCACCCTGGACCCCCCACAATTATCTTTTATTACTACTGGTTTTTCTAGTTTTCTAACCTATTTTATTCAATATTTTTTGTACAGCTCTAGTAATTTCACACTTTCAAGCAGCTGAATTAATCATGCTATTCCCCTTTTTTCATCTTTTAAAGATTTTCCATTCATATGGCTTTACTTACAACTACTTTAACCAAGTACTAGGTGTCTTTTCTACCTTTTCATTAAAATTTTGTTCACTGTATTTTCTTCCAAACAATTCATATCACACACACATTAGGATTCATATAGTATAAATTCAGGCTTATACTACATACTATGTTTTACATAATGAATATGGTCTTCAGTATAGATGTTCAAAAGGGAAAAGGAAGTATCCCCCCCCCACCAAGTGTTTCTGAAATAGAACTAATGATAATATAATATAAAAAGTATAGAATACACTGCACTAATCTACTTCTTATCCTAAAGATCAAAAATTGTTTTACAAAAGTAAGTACTAAATGAGGAGTGGGGGAGTTCTTAAAAAAAAAAAAAAAAAAGTTGTTTAACAAAAGATTGCTGCAGTCAATGTCAAAGAATACCAAGAAATTATCTAAATACTTTAAGTCCCATTTTAGTTAGAAAGATAAATGAAAGTATTTCTTGGAAGTTCTTTAAATCAGTACTTGCCTTTAGTTTATCAGGGGATGTGTAAGGAGCTTCAGGAGCATAAATCCTGAAAATATCAGCAAGGCAGCAGGCTACCAGTAAGCGAACATCTTTGTCAGGATGCTTGAGGAAAAAATCTGAAGCAAGATGTAAAGCTAGGTTTAAATAAAGCTCCTTTTCTTCTTCAGAGTCCTGGTCCATATCCATGAAAGTTTTCACAACCATCTATTCAAAATCAAAATAATGAAATAATGAAATCCTTCATGCAAAAATAGTCATTTGAAAGAACAACCATATTAATTGCAAAGATTAACTTCCAAATAAATAATACACAGTACTTTCATTTTTCCCTTGAAAGTATCTGAGAGAGCAAGATCCTTCTAAAACTACAAAAAAAATAATTTTTCTTTAAAAGACTAAAATACTTTTCATGTACCCATCATACCTGCTAACCAGATAAAAAGTTTAAAACTAGCCTTGAATGGAGTTTCTGGTCTCACTTTTACAAATGGACTACAAGGATTATGTCCTTCTTAAAAAGAGCAACCCCTTTTTATAATATACCTACTCCTTTTATTATACTTCTAAAGAAAAAACCTAGGAAAAGAAGAAAACTATTTTTCCATGTGACCCATAAACCACTCCAGATACACGGATTTATACATTCAGCTAAAAAAGAATAAACAGATTTAAGGATGATGAAGATGTATTCCTAAACGTTAAAAAGCTACCACAAAGTGACTACCATAGCATCCAACAAAATATTTCTTGTGCCACAGTAAAAGAGAACATGACATGGACATTTTATTAGTAGGACTCAATGGCACGTATGGAGTAAGCAGAAAGAACCTATAGGAAATGGTTCCTTTTGCAAAAACATTTACATAAAAGTAGTAGGACAGAAATAAAAATGGTGAGGAATGGTACTAGTTGAATTCTATAAAGAGCTTTTTCTAATTTCAGTATTAGTTGTCACAATGAACCCTGAGTCATACTATTCTTACCTCAAATGAGACTTTTAATTGCCTAACTTGACAGGAACACACATTTAAATAAAACTCTAATGGAAAGGTGACCATCTGGCATCCACTAGGTGGTGCTGCAAATACTAATCAACAAATAGGACTGGCCACCAACTATCAGTATCTATGACTTGGTCCTTGAAAAATACAAGGATTTCTACTCTGCTACAGAGTTAGATTTCTGAGTAATAAGTTCTCCAATGCCTTGCTGGGGAACAGTGTTCCTCACAGGGCAGACCCTCAGTTCTACTATACCAGATGCCAGAACCAACTGTAAACTAATCCTTCCAGTCTGGCACTATAGTTAGTTTAAGGGTACAAGGTCCAGGACTACTCTCCTAACTTTTAAATTTTAGTCTCTTAAGATATATGTTTGATGGCTTAGGCATATCATGAAAAGAGGCAAAGGAGAAAAAAAAAAAAGACCTACATGCAGGAAACCATTTCTTTTTCTAGACTCTGTTCACAAAAGAGAGGTTCAGTATATTTTGAATAGAATATTATAGGAAACTCTAGAAATTATATAATAAATAATGACACCTTATATATTAACAAACTTTTAATTTATAAAACCTACTCCTGTAATTGTACATATCAAAAATTACTGTCAGCCCACATTAAATCCTTTTTATATTTCTCTAAGAAGGTTGCTAAAAATAGTGGGTAAGTGTAAATTAGGAAAATAAATGAAAAAAACTATATTAACTAGATTACTGCTGGGCATAAATGTCTAAAAAATAATGAAAACATATTACAAACACTAAATGTGAACACTGTGGAAATCATTCCACCAAAACTAACAACAAAGTTTACGCAAGGGCTAGATAATAAGAATTCCTCAAAACTGTCTACAACTCAAATGGTGTTATTAAACTCAACTGCTCATGTATAAGTCATCTATTAAAGAAGATGTCTGAGGAAATAACATCTCTAAAAGACAGGAAATGCTAATCAACTTATAAGTATAGCTTCTGCGTTTAACAGTTTCGTAGCAAACAACAGAGATGTTTACCTATCATTGCTAAAATATAAACTAATCTGAGGAAATAAAGTATTCACTTCTCTAAAAATTCAACAAGGTCAAGAGAATTTGATACAGAGAAAATGAAAAGTGTCACATACAAAGGATTTGTAGCTTCACTATTTTTAACAAAATATACACAACTTCCTAACTAGCACATATCAGTAATTTTAATCTGCTCAAAGATGTCTTTTCCTTTGAATAAAAAAAATCTGATATCTGACATTCTAATACTATATGCACAAAACTAAGACTTTATATGAAATTTATGAGTATTAGAGTCCTTTTCTTCTAATAAAAATAAACCATGCAGCAACAGCTATAAAACAGTACTTTGCTTTAAGGCTCCGGGGTCTTCAATGATTAATTAATGCAGGTTTTCCAGTCTTGAAATAGAGACAAATAATAATGTATCAAGCAACATAAATGTCTAGGTAGATATAATTTAGAAGGGGAAAAATGCTCAAAAATAAAGAACATCTCAACTAACTGATAAATCAGCTTAGCATTCTGCTTGGCCACTCTGCTCCTTTAACCATTTTACAATCACAGGGACTATCACTGCCCTGAAGAAAAGGTAAAATATTGTTCAAACACATATAAAGAGATTCTAGCCATACAGAGACCACCTCATCTATGGAAGGTCACCATTAATCTTGATTCATTGCTGCGTATCAGAAGCAGAGAGAAAAGCTGAAAGTAAAGCTCTTTAACCTACTCCAAAATAACTTGCAAGTAAAATACAGCCTGAGTGCTCAGCACAAAGACTTAAAACTTCCTTTCTTAGATTAAAATGATTGTTTTTGTAAAATCAATGAGATATAGAACAAAGGAGAACTTTATACAGACAAAATGAATATAAGAGTACTACAGATTTATTCTTTATACCCAAGTATAGGAGGCCCTAGAAAATCTAAGCTTCACCTTTCCAGTTGTTCTCCCATTAACAGTAGCTAAGGAAACCCTCCAGTTTTGTATGTACTTCTGCTCTCCTCGATCCTTTCCCTGCCATTTTTAGCTTTCATTTGCTTTTTTAAGGTGCCCTAACAAAATACAGCCCTATGTGATTTCCACAGGTAACCCCCCACCCAGATGTCCCAAAACATAACACAATTCTACTCACCTTTAACCGTCTCACCATCTCCTCTTTAGATATTTTGTCTGAGATTTCTTTGACACCAGGAGGATAAGTAATTTTTCCATCATTGGTTCTTGTCTTTGAGTGAGCCATGATGGAAATATTTTTACCCCTAAAACAAGAAAACTGTTAGAAGCAAACAAAAAAATAGGCATAAACAAAATTAATAATAAACATGAAAAGTAACTGTCCCCCCAACCAAATAATTTATAACTACTTCCTAATTTATAGTTATTCACTTATTTAATTAATGAAAAACATTTTATTAAGCATTTCCCCAATTTTTTTCAATTGTATTTTCACTTCCATTTCTACTAATGGTAAGTTGGGTTATTTGCACTAACCCTCCAACTACAAAAACTATAAATAATAGAAAAAAAATCCAAAATAAGCTTATTTGTTAAAGCACCACAAATTACTTGTCCCAAATAAAAGAGAATACAGGAATCCAGAGAGATAAACAGAGCACTGAACATTATATCCATTTATACCCTGAGGACATTTGCCAACCCTGACAAATCTAGAATTCAGTTCTGGCGGTCTTATGAGGCAAGGGGGACAGAGGTAACTCTTAACCTGGCAAGACAGAACATCAAATAAGAGACCTTCCTGACATCAGTGCACAATACTACTCTGTCTCCAAAAAGATAACACCCACAAAGATAAGCCAGAAATCAACGTGCACCCATGCCCCCATCAACAGCCACAGGAAACAGCAGAGAAAGTTGCCTTGGTACTAAGCAGAGCAACATAATAACAGATTCAGCTAATTAGTTTTTGCCATGGGCCTGCACACTGGCTATGGTTCACATTACCTAAATTGTCCAGAGCACCTCAACACATAAATGCAGTGACCCGTGACTGGTAGTACCACAAAGCACCAAATATAAGTAAAATTCTACACCTCAGAGAATCCCCACCATGAGGTTTCTAGGACAATGACCATTATCAAGTCAAAAATAATCAAGCACCTAAGGACACATGACACTGTATGCAAAAATCTGCAGAAATACCAGGCACCAAGACAGGACACACAAAGACTTCACATATTACAATTCTCAAACAGATTACAAAACTACTATTTTATTGTTTTAAAGAAATAAAAGTCTAAAATAACTCAAGAAATAATTATAGAGAGCAAAGTAGAACAAAAAGTCAAACTTCTAAAACAAAAATGTAAAAACTGAAATTAAAAACTCCGTGGACAAGTTTATTAGCAGATTAGAAAAAGCTAGTAGAACTAGTGAACTGGAAGAGAAATCAAAAGGATATAAAGAAGAAGAAAGGACAAAGAAGTTTAACTTATGATTCATGGGAGTACCAAAAGACAAATGAAAGCACAGGCCCCTATCTGAGTAGAACAGCATAAAATTCAAGAAGCCAAACAGAATTAAACTCAATACGAAGAACTGTAGAAAACAAACAAAACATTAAAGCAGTCATATTACTTTGAAAGGAACAGTATTTATAAACTAGTAAGTCAGCACAATATAAGCCAGAAGACAGCAAAATGTCATCCTCAATGTGGGAAAAGAATACAATTGCAAAGCTAAAGTTTACATCCAAGGAATATAATTTTCAAGAATAGGATGAAAATACAGACAAATTAGCCAAACAAAAGTTGGAAGCTATAAGTAAATATATATAGCACTTCCAACATTGTTTAGCACATACTATGCACTTTACACTACACATATATGATATACATGATCAGGTTAAAAAACTTAGATTTTAAAATTTCACTATAAACAGCTTACAAAAAACATAAAGAAAATATATGGATATGAGATGCTGAAAGTAAAAGGATGAGAAAATATACCATGCAGACACTAAACAATCCAATTACAAAATGGGCAAAAGACATGAACAGACATTTGAAGAGGAAATTCAAATGGCAAATAAGCATATGAAAAAATGTTCAACACCATTAATCATTAGGAAAACGCAAATCAAAACCACAATGAGATCTCATATACTATTAGAATGGCTAAAATAGAAAATAGCAATAACATCAAATATAGATAAGGATGTGAAGAAACTGAATCTAGACACTGCTGGTGGCAATGTAGACTAGTACAACCATAGTTGAAAATAATCTGGCAGTTCCTCATAAAACTGAACATGCACTTACCATACAAATCAGCAACTGCACTCTTGGGAATTCTTCCCAAGAAATGAAAGCCTGTGTTCATGCAAATCTGTACAAGAATATTTGTAAGAGCTTTATTCATATACCCCACAACCAGAAGCAATCCAAAGCCCTTCAATGAATGAATGGTTAAACAAACTCTGATAGATCCACACAATGAAATACTACTCAGCAATAAAAAAACTGACTTACTGATACATTCAATAAATTACTGCCATTATGCTTATTGAAATAGCCAATCTCAAAAGGCTACATGCTATATGGTTTCATTAATGTAACATTCTTAAAATGACAAAACTATAAACATGGAGAACAGATTAGTGGTTGCTAGGGTACAAAGATGAGACTAAGAGATAGCATTACGGAATTCCTTTATAATTCTGTATCTTGACTGTGATGGTAATGACATGAATCTATACACAAGATCAAACTATACAGAACTACACAGAGACAGAGAGAAAGAGAAAAATACTGTGCAAAAACTTGAGAAAACTGAGTAAAATCAAAATCAGTAATCTAATTAACATTATACCAATGTCAATTTCCTTACTTGATATTGTACTTCAGTTACAAAATATGTCACCACTGGCAGAAGATGAGTGAAGGGTTACTGAATTCTATGTACTATTTTTGCAAATTTAAACCTATAATTCTTTCAAAATAAAAAGGTTTAAAAGCAAACCAATCAACTGTATTCCTATGGATAGCAAATAGGAAGTTTAAAAATACAATTTACATAGAAGAGCATAAATTAATCTAACAAAAGATGTACTTTTACAGAGAAAATCATAAAGCTTTATTGACAGAAATCAAAGAAAACCTAAATAAATAAGGAGATATCATAGACTGGATTGGAAGTTTCAAATACTATAAAGATAGCAAATCTTGCCAGTGATTATGTAGTCAATACAATCCCAATCAAGCCCAGGTTTTGATGTTGAAACATGGCAAATTTTTAAAAAACTGATATGTAAATAAATTCAAAAGGCCAAAGTAGCAAGATACTTGAAGAAAACCACTGTAAATGGATTTGTTCTCAAATATTAAAACCCATATAAAGCTAAAGTAATTTAGATGATGTAGTACTTACTGGTGCAGGGAAAAAAAAAAAAAAAGAAAGGATTAATGGGAAATATTAGACTAGAAACAGACCCTTCATGTTTTATACATGAAATTTAATATATGAAAACAGCAGCAGGGCATATCAGTAAGAAAAGATCAGAGAGAACAAAACAAAAAGTTCCAAATATTGCCTAATATTTTAATAATATTAAGTCTTCCAATCCATGAACACTGGATATCTTTCCATTTATTTGTCTTATTTCTTTCACCAACATATTGCAGTTTTCAGTATACAAGTCTTTTACTCCCTCGGTAAAGTTTATTGTGAAGTAACTTTTTTCTTTTTGATACTATTGTGAAGAAATTCTTTTGTTAATCTCCTTTTCGGATAGCTCACTGGTAGTATATAAAAACAGTAACATCTAGGTGACCCATTGAGACAGAGCCATCAGAAGGGAAGTGAAAACAAACTTCTTTTTTCATGGGGTTATTCTATAGTTACTGTCTTCCTGAACTTTGTTTTTCTAAAAAAGAGAGCTGTGAATAAAGACTTTCACAGAATTTATTAGTTCTACAAATTTTTTGTAGGGTCTTTAAGGGCTTTCTACATACAAGATCATGTCATCTGTGAACAGGGAATTTTACTTCTTCCTTTCCAATTTGGATTCCTTTTATTTCTTGCCTTTACTTTATTGCCTAAATGCTCTGGGTAGGACTTCAGTACCATGTTGAATAGAAGTGGCAAGAGTGGGTATCCTTGTCTTGTTCTTGATCTTAGAAGGAAACTTCCTATTTTCACCACTGAGAAATGCAAATCAAGAACAAGATATCACTTCATTCCTGTAAGAAAGGCCATTATCAAAAAAACAAAAGCTAACAAATGTTGACAAAGATGTGAAGAACAAAGAATTCTTGTACACTCTTGGTGAGATTGTAAAATGATGCAGCCACTATGGAAAGCAGTATGAAGGTTCCTGAAAAAAATTAAATATAGAACTACCATATGATCCAGCAATCCTGATCCTGGGTAGAGACCCCCCCAAAATTGGAAATCAATAACTCTAAGAGGTATCTGCACCCTTTTTTACTGCAGTATTACTCAAAATAGTCAAAATATGGAAAGAACCCAAATGCTCATCAATAGATAAATGGATAAAGAAAAAAAGGTTTATACATACAATAGAACATTATTCAGGCTTAAAAAGGAAGAAAAGCCTACCATTTGCAACAATATGGATGGACCTGGAAGACGTTATGCTGAGTGAATTAAGTCAGTCACAGAAGGGCAAATACTGTCTGATTCCATTTATAGGAGATATCTAAAATAGTCAAACTTGGGGCACCTGGATGGCTCAGTCGTTAAGCATCTGCCTTTGGCTTGGGTCATGATCCCAGAGTCACAGGATTGAGCCCTGCTCACAGCGGGAAGCCTCTTCTCCCTCTCCCACTCCCCCTGTTTGTGTTCCCTCTCTCGCTGTCTCTGTCAAATAAATAAATAAAATCTTAAAAAAAAAAAAAGTCAAACTTACAGATACAGAAAATAAAATAGTGTTTGCCAGGAGATGAGAGGGAAAAATGGAGTTGTTATTCCACGGGTGTAGTTACAGTTAGAAAATATGATTAAATTCTAGAGATGTTCTATACAACATAGCACCTACAGTTAATACAGTGTTGTACACTTACGAATTTGTTAAGAGGGTAGATTTCATGTTAAGTGTGTTCTTACAAAAAAAAAAAAGCAAAGAGACACAAGGAAACATTTAGAAGTAATAACTGTGTTTATCTCAGCTGTGTGGTAATGGTATTATAGGTGTTGTATATAATATGCATGCATTTTTTTCTCTGTATCAGTTACAGTTCAATAAATCCATTTTATTTTTTTAAAGATTTTATTTATTTGA